TAATAATAGCGACATTGCTATATTACAAATAGAGTACAAAGTGAAAAGGAAGTTGAAGAACAATCAACTAACAGTGCTAGTGATGCTTTACCGATGACAACTTCTATTTTAATCTCAAAGATGCCTAAGGGAGGATCCGGATCAGCGTTAGACATTCGAAACAGTCGGCCCTATACTCCACTGTGGAACTTATGTTCATCGACTATCTCCCATGGATATCGAAAAGCATATAAATGCGTCACTTCCCCGTCAAAGCCCTACCCCTCTCTGGAAATAAACATATAAAAGCAGTCGAAACTCTTCAACCTCTCTTAAACCTCCTCAATCCATCTTCTTTACCTACCGCCCAAAATGAAGTTCTTCGCCACCGTCGCTCTCCTAGCCACCGCTGTGACTGCCGCTCCATCCGCAAAACTCTTCAACCTGAAGACCTCCGGTGCCAGCAACAGCTCCCACAACGACCTGTTCCTCTCCGTCGGCCACGGCCTGGTCAGCGACCCACTTAACAGCGAAGCCGTCTTCTCCGGTGCCTCGGCCAGCCGCGCCGCTGCCTTCTCTTTCGTCAACGGCACCATCATCTTGGACACTGAAACCAAGGCCCCCTGGGCTCTGGATCTGATCAACGTGGAAGGTAAGATAGCCCGGTGGTTGCTATTAGATGTGACTGTTTCCCAAACTCGGATTACTAACGACATTGGTACCATATAGGCGTCCGCAAGGAGCGTGCCCAGGTCAGCATCAAGCCCACTCACGGCTCCAAGGGCTTCTCTATCGACCGCCACGGTGTCCAGGGACCCAGTGAGACCTGGGACGGATGGTTGTGTAAGTTCCTTACCATATCCCCTTTTCCAAGTCTACATGATCGTGGCGAGTGCAAATGGCTGACTCTTTTTTTAGGGTGCCCCACCGATGTGGAGGCTGGTCAGTTGTTCCCCAACTTGCACTTCCTCAGCAAGACGGTTCAGGAGCCTGCCCTCCCCGCTGGATGTGACAAAATCCAGCTCAATGCTGTTCCCAAGAGCTCTGCTTAGAGGGATTTGGGATTTTATCTCGTAACGAGTATCAATTTATGAGACGTGCTTTCTAGTTTCTGTGTTCTCTTCAAGATTGAGAACTTCTACTAGACTTTCATTTCATCATATTTCAGCGTATAAGTCAGGCTTAATTAATAATATCTTGATTATTCTACTGATTATTTTCTTTGAATCCATGGATGTCTTCTGAATGCTCTGATATAAAATTCTTCTCACAGCGGCGTCACAGCCAGACTATTCGTTTTGCGCCCTATAAACAATAAAAGATGTTCTCAGAACATGATAGTTCCCACATCCCTTGATATTCTCCCTTCCATGTCTAAATTCTCACGCATACCATGAGTTATGGTTACATTGCCACCCCCACATTTAAGGGACTTTCTGGCGGAACCGAGAGATGCCCGACCTTGGGTGCCAGTTAGGTGGCAATAGTAGATCATGTACTTCGACTTTGTGGTGGTTATTGTATGTGTCACATTTTATGGCATGGCTGGCAGTCACACCTTTGTTCCTGTAGTTACGTTCCGGTACTCCGTAGTAGGGCCAGCAGAAATTTGCTGCTGGGTATTGAGGACGATGCATAGCCCTTCTGTGGTTTGGTTGCGTTGTGTAACAATACTATGGGATGGTTTACGGGCGGCCATTCATCGTACTAATATGGGTTCATAGTGTTGGAATAATGGTGGAATGTTGGCAAAAGTCAAGGACAAGTGATGTATTGATGATTTAGGGTAAATAATATCATCCCTAGGATTTTGTTTGAAGTACTCCGTATATAGTTATCACCTATATTGTCCCCCTGAAACTGAAGTATATATTGCACGGACTCCCGGGGTTTAGTTTGGTGCGATGTATATCACTTGATATAGAAAACGAGAATAACTTGAAATGATCGATGCTGATATAAAGGATCTTTGTACTCATTAAGAGGTAGATATATAACAAAGGTAACTTTAGGCTCTGTGGTTACATATGTCAAATCTTTGCCTTGCCCATTCTGGAGCATAAACTTGAAGTTGATACACCAAGTTATTATCTTCAAATCAATCATCTGATAGTCAAAAAGGCGTGAAATAGTGGTCAGCCACTATTAATAGCCGATGTCTCACATGTCTGATACGCATTACCTATTTGGGTTTAGCCCCGCAATACAGCTCAAACATCGCATCTTCTCTTTTCTTTCTTGTGGTTTTTCCCCCTCCCTCTCTAATTATTTGGGAAGACACTCGTTTACTGTTTGCCTTTGAAGTTATTTACAATCGTTGCTCTGAATCGAAAATCCACATTCCCGAGATCTACGTCTTATAGCGCCAAGATTTGGCTAAGGGGATTAATAACATCTTCTGCACTCCACGTCCTTGTGATCGTCCTTCCGTAGCAACCGAAATTGCTTGGTACGAACACCAAATCGATAAGCCTGTTTTGACAAAGGAGGCCTTTTTCCCCTCTCTTTTGACAAGTTACACCGGATTGTGCAAGGGGCGTGATCAGTCTAGCCCACCTTTCAGCCCAGAGAGTAACACCTCGGTCGCTTGATTTTTGAACCTCCAGACAATCTCTCCAAACTTCAACATGCGGTGTTTTATTTTGAGCGTGCTCTGCACCATCCTGTTGCTGGGGACGATGTCATCAGCTTGGCCATGGCGGCCATATGGAGCACTTCTGGGTGTCTCCTTGGATAAGCGAGCAGGTAAGTCAGGATTCTTATCATACTGTTGTACTTGACACTGACTTGCGATTCAGACACCACAGATACAGCAGTCGCTGAAACCTCCGAATCTACCGCGGAAGCCTCAACTGCCCCCAAGACTTCTACCGGAGCCACCACCGAAACAAACACCGACACCAACAGCGACACCAAGACAGGCACTGCAACCGATTCCGAGAAGACCGGCACAGCAACTGGGACTAAGACAGGAAAAAGCAAGACTACCGCCACATCTTCAATCTCCATTGACCCTGCTGCCGCTGCTGGCGGTGTGTCCATGATCACCCCCGCTTCCTCGTCCACGACCTACTACAAGATCGGCGAGGATGTGACATTCGTGTGGAATTACACCTCCCTATCGGTCACGCCATCTGCAGTCAACGTCGTGGCTTCGTGCAGTCTCAACGCGATGACATATACGCTCAGCTCCAACATGACCGTGAAGCAAACCGGAAGCGTTGTGTGGGATACTGGAAAGTACCAGAAATCGGCTACCATTCCGTTGCTTACCGCATCATATACCCTGATCGTCTACGATGCTAGCAAGGACATCGATGATACCGCGGGCGCAGGACACTTGAGCTCGCAGAACGGTGGTTACGTCTTCGGGATGTACACCCCGCAGCCTTACACCCCACTCAATCGTGAGTATATAAACCAGCCACTCCTTTCTCAAATACACTGCTAACCTTTGTCCAGAATTCAAGTGTGCCACCTGCAGTGGCGCCCTGTCCGAAACCAGTCGTCTGGCCATCAAATTTACCGTCGGCATGGCCGTGATCACCTTCGCTTCGTTCACCTGGTTTGCGGGTAGTGCCGGCGTCCTCGCCACTTGAAAAGCACCCACCCGGTGCACTCGCATTGACTTATCATGAACATATTTTTCCATTTTGGGGCGTTGCATTGTTGAAGCGATCTGGATTTACGATAATAGCAAGAAAACGGCGTTGCGTGATACTTCTTATTTATATTTGTATACTTTTTGCATTTCATCCTTTCTCTTATCTATTGGTTTCATAATAATAAGCGGTGATGATCAATATTTTCGGTATTTTCGGCTTTTACATACAATAACACTCAATCTCTTCAACTTCGGATATCTCTCATCTAGCCCTCACTTATCCGCTCTTCTTGGCTATAGGCCGAGTATTCTTCATGGTACATGAAGGGCATGGTTTGCGGTAAATTGAGGTGGTAGAAACAATTCTGCGGATAGCAGTTACCCGACTGATTGTCAGGGCATTGCTGGTGGACATGGCATTGCCGATGAACATTGCAGGATGAGGAGCATTGCCTTGGGAGCGACACCCTTCGTATTGGTTACTCGCACGACACGTGGAGGCGGGTTCTTACCTTGCTGGGAGCTTTCGCCCTGCTACTTCACATCCCATTCCCGAGAGAAATTGTCTTGTTGTGAACCACCTTCATGAAAGGCTATGCTATGCGTTGCAGATAATTAGTGCCATGGTCGTGGGACTTTTATGCCTCATCCCGCTTGAAGATCATGTCTTACGGCGGATTGACTGGGTCGCAGTTGCCACGGTCTTGGTACTGAAGCCGAATACGGTCTTATTGGTATGAATCATCCTGATTGCGATCCATTGGCCGAGGGTTGGGGATCTAGCCCAACAACTTGATAAAACCACTGCGTTCAAGGGTTCTCTGATGAGGGTGTATTCAAGTTCAAGATGAAATCAATCAGTCAGGATCGAGACATATTGGGAACCGTGGAGGGTTTATCGGTTGCTTAGTTGCCGTGATGCTTGCGTTGCTTAGTCGTTGCCTGTATGATCTAGTATATATAGTTCCGTCGACGGATGTCTGCAAGGGCTTACCTGACTACGTACGTGGGTGTGTATATGATAATCAAAAGATCAATGAATTCTTTTGTTGATCGTCTGAACTGAAATATACTATGCACGAATCCGTGATATTCCCTTCATTGTCAATGTTGAGGCATTTAGTCCACTTCCTACGCAATTGTTTCGATTATTGCGCGAAGACAAACAAAAGGAAGCTTGATGTCTTACTTCTTACAATTGGAAGTTGAGACTGTCTTACAGATAAAGAAATCCACGGGAAGCTATTCAAGCAGTTCATTCATTGACTGAGACTTTAGACCATGGAATATAAAAGAAGCTAGTTAACTAATCTCCTTCTACCTCTTCTCCAATCCATGAAATAAATTCCAGCCTACTTCATCTTACCATCGACCTCCAACCTACCACCAAGAAGAAAACCAAGAACCAAAAAGGAAAATGCCTTCCCAATTAGGTTGGATCTGGCCCAAAGACCCACGCCCCGGCAATCCACAACACTGGCCACGCCGCTGGCGCATCTTTGATGTCCTAACGAGCAAAGGGCCGGACATCTACGTGGGCCGCATCGACCAGCCCAGAACCAAGACCAGAAGGGCATACCCTACCGGACCTACAAGACAAGGCTGGTCTCGATGGGAGTTCCCCAACGACCCTGAACCGGACTACAGCCCACTACCCTGGGCACGGCGGCCGGCGGGGGAGCGCTATGATTTTCGCACGAGGAAGTACCACGTTCCAGACCATGGAACATGGAGTGATGTTGAGTATTGCAATGGGCGAAGGGCTCGGAGGGGGAATGGGGCGGGAGAGATGAGGCGCATTGTGTACCGAGGCGATATTGGGATCGGAAGGGGGATGAGTATCCAGCGGATTTCTGGCATGATACCATTTATGGCAATCACAGGGATTGAAGGGAATACACAGGTTGGAAAAATGTGGTTGAAAGAAAAGAAGAGAGATGAATATGGGGTGATGGGAGGGTGATTTGCATGATATTGTGTTTGTTAAATCCAAGTAGTTCGCTTTAAATGCTTCCAATCATTTTTTTTTCTCAAAATCAAAACCGAGATGAGATGGATATAGCCCAATGCACTGACGTTCTCCCAAAATTCCACTCCAAGTTCCAAGAATATGGTAGGCTGATATAGGGAGCGAGTCCAATCAGACGCATCCAAAGTGCAATGCGTCAAATGTGTATATACGTGCTGGTCCATTAACAGACTGTTGATTCGCCTGAGGGAGTCGGAGAGTTGGCAGTTGAGCACCGTTATCAGTCAGACGATTGCACTTCACGCATGGAGTCTGCTTGATATCCGCATAAGAAGAGATCATGTCCTACATCGGCATTAGAAAGATTCTCCTTCAGAATCAAGAACAGAACATACCAGTAAGAAAGTAAGGTCCCATTTCCGTGAGCGTGACCCCACACATCCCAGTATAGCATCCTCAAGTTTCGTGGGTGACCGGCCAGCGATCTTGCTTGAAACCTCCCAGTCAGAGATCGGGGAGCCAGGGGAAAATACTCCTTTCACCTGGAAGACGACACCAGCTCTAACAAGTGCTACCGCTAGAGAAGTTTCATCCTGGCCCTTGATAACTCGTACACCGGGCATATCCCGCTGAACAAACCGCTCCAAAACATTCTTCCACTCACCCTCGGTAGACTGCGCTTTGGTACGTTCGGCTTCTTCATCCACTCGCTGATGTTCATCTATTTTGGACTTTTCATTTCGTGCTAGTTCTTCTAGAAGAACGTCATAATTTCTGTCCCATTTCCCCGTCGGCTGAAGAAGCTGACCGTTGGCTTCCTGGATGCGGGATTCGACATGTGCCCATACAGATGTCAACTCCGGATCTCGCCACAAGGACTGGAATTGGTGGACATCAGCGACGCGTGCGCGTGCGGCCTCATCCAGACTAGCCCGGAGGATCTGTGGAGTTTCAGCGACTGGATTGCCGAGGGATACTTTATCTGGGTTTGCAATAGGCACCAGAGGCTCCAATAGGCCCTGGGGCATGAATCCACGCAGTTCATGGATCTGGATATCTCATTAACTTGGTTTTGTGGCAGAGCTGCAACGGCCCGTGTACTTACCTTTCGTTCGAGTTCTTGTAATTTTGCTAGTGATGAAACAAGTTGCATCTCTGAGTTCAGTCCTGATGCTTCGCTGTTGCCGCTCGCTGGCCCTTGGGTGGAGTTCTGATTGGTAGTAGCCATCGCTGGGGCTGTTGACATCGCTTTTTGTAAGGTACTTGATTAGATGGCCAAATCCACCCCAAAAATGCGCAAATATGATCCCCCGGAGATAAATGATATATAGATATATATTGGAATAGGCACTTGACTTGCGCAATGGACAATCAAGGAAGGTGAAAGACAACGAGTTATCGCAGTGATGGTTTTGCGGGCGATGAGGTCACCCTGTGTTGTCTGTTATATAGGGAAATTCCAGGAAAAAAATATCCAGAGCCAAATAAGAGAGTGTGTTTTGAATGATATTTTGTTGCTTAAAAGGTGCTCCAGTAATGCGAAGATGAGAGGATGTGAGGAACGAGATGGCCGTGAACCAATCAGGAAAAACCCAGCCACAATCGCTTGTGCCATAAGTGGCTGATGCAATGCTTACATAATATGTATTTTTATAGTTCCGACATTGTGCTTTTTAATTTTATTTTGCTTTGCATGTTTGATAATCGTAATAAAGACCTTTAATTCATATGTAATACTTGTCTTAAATTCCGTCTTCATCATGCTACCTGTGTCTTTGGCCCTTGGTCAACGGTCTTACTCTGAGTGAGTCCAAGTTGAAACAAGTTTTTGTTGAAGAGTTTGCTGCTTTGAGGAATAAGAATCACTGACGTTACAGAATGGCCTAGATGCAAGAAGTTCTAAGAAGCTTTACCAGGGTTGATCTATGTTGCTTTTGTGGCCAACGAAGCTACGGAGACTGGATGGAACAAGTCTTCAATTGTCTCATTTCTGCAAGCTTCTTTGTAGAATGAGCTCGATGTCTTGACCTTGTTTTCTCTATAAGAAGCCATGTAATCCATTTCCCAATAACCCTCATTAACCTTCATCAGCCTTAATCAACCTTCACCAGGACCCATCAACACCAATCAGTGAATCCTTTTGACACCTTGAATCCACCATGAACAGCACAGGCGGGACGCCTCTATTCCTCGGTATACATCTCGAGCCAATTCAACACCTCAGACGTTCATCTCGCATCGCAGAGCTCCAGATTAGAGCAGCCAAAGAAAGATCGTGGAGCACACGCGCCCAGCCCAGCCAGTCCGCCTCCCGCACAAACCAAGTTCCAAGACAAGCAGCCAGTTTCAGGTGTGACAGAAGCTCATGCGACTGCTGCAGTCAAACCATTGCTCAGAGCATCGAGGTACGGTCGACTTACAAGACCAACCTTGGAATTTCTGGATAATTACTAATAAGTCTTAGATGCTCCGCCTGGTCCATAATTCCGTTGATGATGCACTGGAGCTGCCTGAAGGCGAATGCAAGGAGCTGATTAGCTATGTTCTCCAGGCGAGCAGGGAGTGGATTCGTGATTTGGAAAAGCAGCAAAACTGAGAGTGCTGATGTGGAGTATGTTTGAGGAAACCTTCCGAGGAAATGCAAGAGACTTTTCGTCGATCATTGTGGGAGTCATTAGCCAGTATGATAGATTTTCTTTGTCGAAAAAATGTGAAATTTCAAGATAAGAACCGATAGAATTCGATTCCAAACCTGTGGTAGCCGGGGCATAATTGTAGAAGAATAGTCGGCTGTATGAGCAGCGTCTTCAGCTGACGGCGTAGCTCAGTAATATAATTCGTACATATAGTTACGGATATGCAAGGCATGCTATATTTAAAGCCCTTCTATAATTATTTCTTTTTATATTTCTTTTGGATTTCTTACTTGGATATTCTCCCTCTTATTGATATTCTAGCTAGATGAAGATGGGAAGACAAGCTAGTATGCAAGCACGGTTAATACATGACTGGAGTGGTATTTAACGGAGTGTCAATAAATTAAGAATGAGGTCCTTATGGGCTACCTAGCAATTATCAGGCACGGAACTTCCCGCAGAACATTCATCGACAGGCAGAGTAGAATTTTAGAGCGGCCATTTGGCATTTGTCTGGAACAGCACGTCCACATCTGACTCATGAAGAGTACGAGAACTTCATGTATATCCCGGGCTGCTTTGATGGAGGGATTTGTATGCGTTTTGTTGACTTCAACAATGACGGTGACGGGGTTGCGCTCTGTAACTCGATCTGTGCCGTATCTCCAGCATTCCAAGGAGGCCCAGTCGCGGGTATCACAATGCGACAGAATGTATTCCGCAATTGAGAGCCACTTCGGACGGATCGTATGCGTACTTTCCACAGGGAAGCAGTACATTCAAGTATAGAGCTTTTCTTCAATTAGCTCAACAGAAATTCCCGAGAGATCTCCCTCGAGCTCTGACTGGATTCGACGTGCAGCCTCATACCATATATCCGGATTAGGTCGATCTGGCATCACAACAAGGATAGTAAGGATTGGCTCAGGCTCTGGGTCAACCTTTGACAAGCGCCCGACCAGCTCAATAGAGATAAATTCAAGTGAGAGTTGCTCTAGAATATCTTTTGCACGGTCTTTACCCTTTTGCCAGGTTTGTCGAATCCTTAATGGCAGAGACGTCGTGACACTAGCAGGAAGGGAGCATAGAGTCGGCCCTCCAACACGGTGGGATGACCTTAGGAATCCTTGGCTGTCCACAAACGTTGGACCGCTGAATGGAGATGACGCCCCTGATGTCGAAAAGAAGCTCAGTGCGTGAGCACTGGCCTTTGAAAAGGTAGATGAAGTGGCGGTAGACGACATTCTTTGTGGAAAGTGGTGTAAAGGCGAGGAAACGTTAAGTCGCAGACCAGTGAGGCCGAATGTGCAGGATATCAGAAACTGAAGGCAAGGCGATGAGCCGTTACAAAGAAAAGCGACTGACGAGGCGAGATAGTGAATAAAATGCTAGAGAGTTAGCAGAGGAGAATTGGCATGGCGAGGTGATAAGAGGAAAGAGCGGCCTGTCCTGAATAGGCTTCGAGGCCAAAACAGGTTTCCTGTTTGAGAATCGGCTCATCTAAGATAGTTTCCGATACTGCGGAGGCAGCATCGAGTCAGTTCCAACCAACGGTGGAACTTTACTGTCGCCATTAATTTCCATCCCCATCACTTACCTCTACTACTGAACCTCGCAATACCCGTCTTGAAGATAATGATTTGATCTTCTCTCAGTATGGGAACCCGATAATTAGATTAAGCTAGGAAGATGGCGGTGTAGATTAAGACCCATGGCGATATTCAGCTCTTGTAGCATAACGAGACGGTTGCTAGTGCTGGAGTAGAACTCATTAAAATATCGGTGACTCATTCTTGTCTTATAGAACGACGTGAAGCCAGGGGATCGACTGTATTGGCCGAGACCACAGCCCCCAAGCAGAGCCTCAAAAAGTGGGGTATAAATAGCTCAGCCCCCAACACCAAAAAGCAAAACAAAACCACATTTATAGAATTCCCCGTTCTTGAAACCACATCAGCAACTATGGCAGGCCAAGATATCCCAGAAGACTTCCTCCGGGGACCAGCCTCAAATGCAACCCTCAACATACTCGATTTCGAGCGCACATCCCCACCGATCCCCGAATACAAAGGCTACTTTGCCGCTATAGTGGACAACTTCATGACCGAAGCCGAATGCAAAGAGCTCATCCGTCTAGCAGAAGAGTCAACAAGAACCCAACTCCCAGACTCAACACTCTCGCCCCCGTATGGGAACAGGCAATGATCAACGCCGGCGGCGGCAGACAAGTAATGTCCGTCGACACGCGCAAGGGCGGACGGGTCATATTGGACTCGCCCGATCTTGCAGACCGAATCCTGGAGCGAATGATGCCTTTCATGCGCGAGTGCGAAATCGACCGCCTCCAGGGAAAACCCCTAGTTACGGGTCTTGGGCCTGCGAAACGGGGCGAAGTGCTCCGTCTCAGCCGGCTGAATGAACGTCTTCGGTTCCTGCGCTATGAGGGTGGGGATTATTTCCGACCTCATTGGGATGGGTGTTTTGTTACACCTGATGGGTTGGAGAAGTCGCTCTACACTATTCACTTATATTTGAATGGAGAAGGGGGACAGGATATGGAGGAGTTGCAGCCTCATGTTGAGCGGGCAGAGAAAGCGAATCGGTTGTTCGCTTTCGGGCAGAGATGGGATGTTGATCCGCAAGATGCTGAGGTTGAGTCCGATGAGGCTCAAATTGGTGACCGGAGTAGTACTGCAGCTGCAGAGTCTGGGCAGACTGAGACTCTTTTAGGTGGTGCAACCTCGTTTATGGGTGGGATGAACTCGAGAGAATCCGTTCGGATATTTCCCAAGACGGGTTCTGTTCTCATCTTTCAGCAAAGAAACTTGTTCCATGGTGGGGATGATGTGTTTAAAGGTGTCAAGTATACCGTACGGACGGATGTCATGTATACTACCGAGTAAACCCCTGCTTTTGAATTTCTTTACCGAGCAAATCAGGTTTCAACCCTAGGCTTTCCTACATAATGTTGATAAGCATGCTACTCGTATGTGTAGACTGATTTATCGTCACTAGCAGGGCACAGCTCGGCTTCCAGCCTTTGCGTGATTGTTTGCTGGTAAACTAGTATTTCACGTAGGTGAGCGTAGCATGAGCTTATGCATATATGCACCCACTTCCCATAGAGTAAGTAAGTGGGAGATCCAGCCCATTCTCTTGCAAACATAATTTCCCGCAACTTTTCAATATCCACCCGCAATCAGGGATGGAAATTTTCTCCAGCCGACTATGTCCCCTACGAACCTGGATTTGAAGGGTCTCAATCTCCGGTTTCACCGTGGAGTCGATGTTGAATGTAACGGCATAATTTCACAAGCGCCGTCCACCGCAACGAGTTTCATGTGCACCTCCGGGGCGACTATTCCAGTAGGTAGGCCTATCAACGGATCACCCCGCCCACACCCCGTGTCATCATGTCATCCATTCAATAAGATCCCTGGATCAACGCGAATGTGCTCTCTATCGGGGGCCTTTTTTTGGACCGGCAGTGATAGTTACACTTCAGCCTCCATAGGTAGTGATCCATGGTTTATCATGGAGAGTAAATTTGCCACGGGCTTAGAAACCGCTGTTGTGAAAGAAATGTTGATGGGATTGGATGAGGATAGATAGTTCAAGGTTGGAAGAATATTGCCTAGACATAAACTAGTTTATAAATAGCCCGTATACCGCCTTCCGAACCAGGAAAGTGCACTATGCATTCCAACCTTGGAAGGTCACCACCGCGGTAAAACCCGACCCCACCACTGTCTGCAACACTCTTGTCCACTGGCTTCGACACGCAGTGGATAATTTAGTTTGATGATTTCTGTGGGGGGAAGAGACAGTGGCATGAGTGGCATCTGGACCATGGCTAACTTTAACGCGATACGTCATGTCAACACATTTCAAGCAAACGCGCCTCTCAAGGCTTCCGGCCTGATAATCGAGAGAAAAAAATGTGGACCAGTCTCAAAGCACATTCGGTGGAAGTAGGAGCCAACGCAAAAACTCCAAACTGAGGTCTCCCACCGAACAAGCTAGAATCTCCTGCCAAGGTGGTTAGTAGTTACTGCCAAGGGGGTCACGACCTACGAAATACGAAAGAGCGGGGGAAGGACCAGCGAATCTGTGGATACGGCACCCCCGGAGGACCCGAGATTCGTTCATTTCCAAGATCCACCGATTAATATCCAAAGCTCATCTGCAATATTCTGTTAACCTCGGAAAAGGTTGCGGCTGATATGTGGCAACGAGACCAAGAAACCTGGTCATTAGCTGAACCGCTCGATTTAGGCCTCAACCCCCCAGAACAGAGATAGGGGCCTAACGGGGTTCGGCTTCTTCAAAATCCCTCATTATAATCTATTAATGTACGGATAAAAATGGATCCATTTAATATTGTTTCGGATATGGAATGCGATCCGGGGGAGACGGTATGTGGGCTATTCAAACAGGATTTCCTAGGCAATGTTCTTACCAAGAAACTGTTAAGAAACTGTTTCTCAAATGAATATACTTGCTAGTCTCGGGCCCCAATCCATTTCTCTCATTCTTCTGTTACACCATTCCAGGGTTCCTGAGGGTGGCGTGAAAATCGTGGCGTCCGTAACCGGGGTTACAGGGTCCCCGAAATCATACGCTCGACCCTTGAAGGTCAGACCATGCAATAGTACGGAGTACATCCAATATTGATTACTTCGTCTAACAGGAATATACGAGATAGGATCATCGATCGGCGATCGACAGCCGGCCTGTCCATATTTGCGGGGTGAACCTACAGCTATACGAACATCTGATTGGTTGGGTTTTGAGGATGTCTTGGATAAAAAAAGAATTTATGTTGGCAACCATGTGGAGAAATGAAGAGGAAGTTAAGAGAGATGAATGTACAAATCATAGCAGGGCTGTCTCACTTCTGCATAAATCCACACCCGTTATGGAGTAACGTATTCCGGGTGTGACCTGACTCGACGTTACATCCTTTGGAGCTGTATGGTTCTATTTCGAGCTGGACAAAAGGGCAGAATGTCATCTGCAGTAAGGTCAAACTTGATAACACACACGGAGGAAAAGACATAAATAGCTTCATTCCTCCCATGTTGTCCTCTTCATTCTCACCAACATCCTTCAAAACCAAATACTTCAAATCAACCACTCAACCATCATCATGCAGCTCACTCAGCTCATCCTCACTACCGGTCTTCTGGCCTCCTCAGCCTTCGCTGCTCCCGCAGACACTTCTTCTAAGTCCATGATGGCCGACAGCCCTCAGTGGACCCTCCAGGACACCAAGCGTGTCTGCAACACCAAAGACACCTCCTGCACCTGGACTTTCGGCATCTACCCCGGCGGCGGCGATGCCACTCCTTGCACCTACGTCGTGGAGGGCAGCCCTGCCTCCCGCGCCAACGGTGGCCCCGTCACCTGCGGCGGATTCACCGTCACTTCCGGCTGGAGTGGCCAGTTCGGCGAGGAGAGCGGCTTCACTACGCTCTCTGTTGTCGACAACGCGTCAAGGCAGATCGTCTGGCCTGCCTATACCGATAAGCAGCTTGCCGGTGGCAAGGTTGTCAAGCCTGACCAGAGCTACGCCCCTGCTGCTCTCCCTTGAATGAAGATGAAATGATGCTTCGGCTTATGAGCTGAACACCGTGTATATCAACCACTTTCCTTAATGACAATCAATGACAAGCGATTAAGCATCTTTGACCTAATCTCATATATGTTTTATACCTTGGATCGGCTGTAGAAATATGGAAATGCGCTCGCTGTAAATACATAAGCTGGGATTACAATCAGAAAACCAAGCAGCATTTGGATTAGTAGCTCATTAGAAAGATAGTAAATAGAAATTCCCCGTGCTCTTTGCTGTTGAAAGACATGATAACATCCCGATTTTTGAAGTATCCACGCCTAACGAATTCCGAGAGGTTAGTGATATCAACTCTTTGGTTCCTCAACTTCCATAGATTTTGAGCTTCTCGGCATTCCTAAAAATGTTCTATGAATTCGTCATAGGAGTACACTTTGTCCCGTAAAACACTAGCATTAGACTAAACCCTAGATGACCCTAGATCCTTTTCCAAAGCAATTTGACACCCGCTACAGCAGACCTCATTCTAAATGCCGCCGCTTTTAATATCGAGATAGGGTAAAGAGGTAGTCACTATATAACGTAGTAGCGCTCTTCCCTTTGGCTGCGTTACTTGTGTTATCTCGTCTTCTTCACGTAAGGATGACCTGCCAACAAATGCTGTCAGCACAATTTGGATTCTCTTTTTCCGCGGAGTTTCATCCATTGAATATGCTCTAGGCAATGACTTCACTATGGGCCCTAAGCTCATTTTGACACGTTTCTTCACAATAGAATATGGCGAGACAGAGGGAAGGGAACATTCTCAAATACAAGATAAACAACACCTTATAAACATCGGAAGAAAGATAGGTAAACACTGTTGGCACAGTGGTCTAACCCAATTAGGTAGGTACTATGGCAGTCATTTTCAGCCTAAGTGTTATTTATTATGGTATCACCACAGTAAAAAGCACAGCCCCTGAATCACCTTAGCCACATGGTACTTCCATGATCTGCTCCATATTAATTCCCCATAATGATGCACCCATAATGATGACGTGATCTATATAGGGCTAATTTCTAGGGTTAATCGAGCCTTGCACGATAATGCACCCATTAATTCCGATCTAGTTTATTTGCGTTGTTTGCGTTGTTTGCATTGTTTGTTACCGAATGGTTTTAATCGGCTATATAAACCTGGATTTTGATTCTTCTTCTGCTTTCTCCCCACTATATGCTTCATTTTTTGCTATATTTTATGCTCCATTAACTGTGCCTACCCACCTGCCTGCCATTGATGATGCCATCAACCTGCCTGCCATCGATGATGCCATCAACAGTCGATGATGAGGCCATCTAACTGACATCTACTAGCAAGGTGTGTGGCATCATCGATGGCAGGGAGGTTGATGGTATCATTGACGGCAGGTAGATGGGTAGGCATGGTTAATGGAGCATAAAATATAGCAAAAAAAATGAAGCATGAGAAAGCAGAAGAAGAGTCATTGTTTAGATGGTTTTAAACATAGGCTCATTCGGTAGCAAACAATGCAAACAATTACTAGCACGGATTATTCGAAGCAGCGAACTGCGTACCTGGCTATGGTCGTGAGAATTTGTTCGGGCCACCGCTAGATCGAAGTGAACTACCTTGAGCTTATTTCGCCTAAAACGAGAGGGTCAAAATGAGAGGCTTATGTGCCTTTTCTCCTCAAGTTTTATTCAATGTGGATAGGATGCAGTTATTTATGAATGTCGACTAGGTGATAAGATGGATGGACCATCTATAAGCGATTAATGGTGTCTTGAATAATTCAATAACATTGACCCAATTGTGACTTGGTGTGCAACTAGTGGGTGTTCTAGTGAATTCTCATGTCATCATACAATAAGCATCCGTCAACAAGATAATTCACTGCATCTTGATCTGTTGGCAGGTTTGGGACCCCCCAAATCCATCGTGATATCTCCCCCCCGGTGTTCCAGAGCGTAGCTTTGCAGCCATTCGGTATAGGCTAGAGAAACTCGCCGAGGTTTTATCGGCGAATATCTCTCCTAGGTCATATGATCAGGTCCCCCATGTGTGGTTTAGATCTATTCTCTCTCTAGTATCTGTGACAACAACCCACAATACATTTACATTGTGTGCCTTCATGATCCTATCTACCCTGTAGATCTCAACATTAGGGAATGAAGATAGAGCATGCTATGTGTTAATGCAGCTATTAACAGGGTCAATTACCCCAAAGCTACCTGTAGCAAATGCTAAACGTTATGCCTATTACGTGCCAGTTCATTATCAAAATAGTGCAGTCATTTCAAGATATTAGAGATGGGGAGAAAGGGAAAAGAAGTGGAGGAACCTCTGAGAGGTAAATCTAGAAACCCCACTTCTGCAAATCCCCGTGGACATCCCATCGTATGACTGAGCGAGAAACAACCATCTAAGGTTGGAACAAAAGAAACAAACTAACGAAGAAAGAACGATGCCTGGCGTGTGACCCATGCATGCGAAGGCAAGTGACATATGCAGATCGTGGCAATTCCCAAGCTTAGCCCCATACCATGTTGTCAATCTCGTTATCCTGGGAGAGGGAGTCGGCACTGCCCATCTCTTCATTTCCCTCCCGGTATCGCCATCTCTTCCCCATAACATTCTTGAAGGTCTCAACATCCATGTTTCCACGCATGATGGCGTTGGAGAAAGATCGAATTGGCTGAGAATCACCTAGAGGCTTCAATTTCACGTCAAGATCAGGGGCGACGAACAACACAGCGCTCAACCGACGAACGCCCGGGGCACGGCGAACACGATGTCTGGCGGCGGAAATCCGACCACCACTCAAGATAACCGCACACCAACCAGTTAGGACAACAGTAGCATCCCCGGGGACAGGAACCCACGTGCCGGGGGTTTCTTCAAGCTCCAGGCCGGGCGTACCATCCTGGAAGATGATCGAGAATGTACCATAATCCGTGTGGGCTCCGCATCCATTGAACGATTCGGGAGCAGCCGTGTTAGGATTGTAGTCACATAGGCGATAGTTCATATTGTATGAGGTGTGTGCAACAGACAGATCGGTACCGGCGAGGATGTTCAGAGAAGACAGTATGGCGGGTACATACTGAGCACTGATGGAGTTGAAGAAGTCGAGAATCTTGCCTAAGCCGTGAGGATCCAAAGACTCACGCAGAGATTCAGGAATCCGGGAGTTTCGCATCGGCGAGAGATCAATAGTGAACTTCTGATCTGACTCAGTTTTGTGTAGAGCCGCAGTCTTGATGACGCCCCGGTGAGGGTAGGTTGCATTGAGCTTAGCCACATCATCAGGATGGGTGTGCAGATGATCAAAGAGGGTCTGGATAGCCGAAAACGGTGCTTTGGCTTCAAGATTGACTGATGCAGTTGTGGAACTCGAGCTCAAGAAAGAGATTGGTGGGGCTTCAGCTGGGCCAGGAGGGGGTGTAGCGATTGGAGTCGCCTGGGGGTTGATAACGTTGGTAGCCATGATAGTTAGAGAGGTGATAGATGAAGGATGGAAGATTGTGTGTGTGTGTGTGAGAGAGAGAGAGAGAGAGAGAGAGAGAGAGATAGAAGGTTAAATAGAGTGAAGAGTAAGTGAGTGAGTCTACGGGCGACTAAGTATACCTACCTAGGTAGGTACCGTTATAGTCTATAGTTATTAGTAATATTAAAGCCGGCCCGCTTGAAGATGCCTGAATACCTCAACTATAAGGTCAATAACATTAGCGCCTTATAAAATGGGCACCAAATGTTGACGTTATTCGTACTATACAAATCCTCGGTGTTGAAGCCTTCCTACTATATGATCGTTGGCTTCATCCTCGTGGAACCTGGATTCATCCTTTTGATAAAGCCAATTCTCACGCCTTAATATTCAGCTTCGGCCCATACTTGAAGATCCTAATCGCCGCATAGCCTAGTCCCGACACACAGGTCGGAACCCCACCAAACACCCACAAACTGTGCCAATCGAGCGATGCACCACCGCTAGGACCACTCGCCAGCACTCCTAGTGCGATTATTGCATACCCCATGCCAACACGGGTGCCTAGCTTCGACTTGTCCGCCGTCAGAATGGCCAGACACATAGGCGGCAGTCCTATCAGCGCACCACTCATGAAGCCGAACAGAATCGCCATGACAATGACAGCTGCCTTTGAATGAACTGCCATCATACAGAACATCAACATGCCCGAGGACAGTGCAGCGGGAACGAGAAGGTTAAAGGGGCCGAAGCGGTCGGCGAGTTTGTTTGGAATTGTACGACCAAAGACCGAAGCTGCGTTGAAGATGGGCACCATGTAGAAGGCCAGACTGCTATCTGTGATGCGAGTTGCCTCGGCGAAGAAGGACAGGTAGAACAAGATAACGAATAAGCCCATGTATGCAATTAGCGAGGTGAACACGAAAGCCAGATAGGCTGGGTCTTTGGACGCGGTGGGATCGACCATGGCGCGTACCTTGGGCGGTTGCACGCGCAGACGCATGATGCTAATTGGAATGAGCAGTGTTCCCAATGCGATGAATCCGATAACGCGTACTGCCCACGGGAAGCCGATTTAATTGATGAGTCGATACAGAACGATGGGGTAGATGACACCGCCGAGTGCGGACCCCGAAGCGGCTGCGCCCATTGCAGCTCCCATCTTAGTCGTGAAGTATTGAGGGATAATAGCGACACATGGAACGGATAGACATCCCGTTCCAATTCCCACGACGAATCCTTGTGCCAGTACAGTACTTCCCGAAACTGGTGTCACCACTTATACTCTTTGATTCTTTCTCAAACCCTAATTGCCAAGATCGACTAGTCTATATTGAGAGATTTTCCGGAGTATCCTTGTCAGTGGGGCTGTATTGTTTCTTACTCAGAGTAACCAGGCCATGTGGCAGGATGTATTCACTTGAAACTCAAATACATCTGACACCTCGATGCCCCACTTGGAAAACCATCGTCCTTGGTACGCAGATCTTTATTAAGGCCCATTCAAAGCACGAGCTTATCCTCGACAAGATACGCAGTGGAGAAATATCTATATCACAGATAGGATAGGCAGCTGGCTGTAGCAAGCGTACCGTCCCAAGAATCTCTTCCAATATACGAAATTTCGGGAGCGTCAAAGCCCCGCCCAATAAAGGTGATGGCTCACGAAGCATCAGTCCAGTTATGCTGGAAGCCCTTTGTGATCAACTGCCCGAAAGACTACATATGTATCCTATACCTGATGAGATGGCAGTTCTTCACCGGGATGATATTACGCCTGACTAAATGTTCGTTATGTTAGAAGCTTCGGGTAACTAATACTTGCCTTATTTTAGTCCCCCTCAGCGAAACTCTGTTTTGTACCATCAAGTAATAAGAAGCATTCAGATATTCTTCCCTGATTACATATGTTTGATCAATAGTTCGGTGTGTCACCCGGGTGAAAATCGCTTTCCAGGCTCGGGTGATTAGTGCACGGATCCCTAGCTAGCCTGTTTTGAGTTATTCATTCCGTGGCATTGTTTCTGCCTAAATCCTTCATCGTGCCAATGAGCCAATATTATACCGACACGAAGCTTCCCGATTCTAACTTTGGACAGGTCAAGGTGGCTGTGATGTACTGGCAGACTCCAACTACAGCTCGTAAATCCTATAAAGAAAATCGGCTTTCTGGCTCTTCATTGCGGGCGAATGGGCGAATATTGGGAAAGTTTGTTGTACAATGGATCCTCATGGATATGGGCGGCCACATTCGAAGACAGACTATTCTTGGGCGGGATCCGACTCCCAAGTGAACCACAACACGTTTACCGACACGTCTTCTATAGACGACAACCAGGAAGCACAATTCGAAGCACAATTCTCTCGCGATCACGGGATTGGAGGGTGGATCGATCCCAGAGAATCCCAGCCGGTTATTCATCCAAATGTCTCAAGCGTGGCAACCTCACATGTCGATCCAGAACATTCGCTGCCATATCTTTCATCGCGATCTTTTAAGCATGTAAGTTATTCTGAACATGAATACAAAGATGAAGTGGTGGATGCCAGTCTTGACTTTCGCTTTTTCTTCAGACAAATGAACCTCAAAAACCCTCATCCTCAAATCTGACGGTCGGCTCAGCCACCAATTCTCGACAGCATGATACCGAACAGATTCGCTGCAATTGGCAGGGGTGTGCACACCTTTTCGCAACCCGCGGCGCCTTGAAGCGTCATATTGAATTTTACCATATTCGTCCAGCTAGTTTTGCTTGTCCTCATGCAGAATGTGATAAAATCTTTAATAGGGAAAGCAACTTGGGCGAGCACCTTCGTGGGGTGCACCACGAACAAAATGGGCGTGGATCTCATCAGGGAAGTAATAATGGATGGAATGCATATAATGCACAGGGAAAAGGGGTGCACTCCTCAAGGCCATTGGAAACACCTCATTCTTTAGCCGAGTGGAGACAGCAACACCATGGTCGCTACCCTGAAAGACACACCGAGAATCTGGGTGACCTCGATGGGCCCATCCAAGATAAGCATGAGGGGCTCATTAAAACTGGTGGCGAAGCAATCCAAGGCAGACCATCTAGCCCTGGCTTAGAAGACCATTGCATACAGCGATTTCATGAGTCAAGATTGGAGACTGATAATGCACCTTCAAGTGAAAAGCACTTGGGTATGCACTTGCAGGACAAGTCCATCGGACGGTCGATGGAGACCGATTTTACCTTGCTACCAAAAAAGCAGCCCTTATGCGACCGGGACTGATAAAAGACGAACGGGAAATCTGGACCATATATTAAACCCTACTGCCTATTACAAGAAGCTGGATACACTGGAGCTTGACACTGCAGACATATGTGGTTTGGATAGTGGACCCCCAGATGCACATAGCCAGAGAGATTTTCGAGATGGCTTCAGTAAAGTCAATTCGGCTTTGAAAAACCTACAAACTGAAGGATTTTGTGGACGTATGATGTCGATTCTCATCGAAGACCCAGTTCAGCCAAATATTGCAAGGGCAATTCACATATGCCCACAGGAGCTAGATGGCCCTGGGAGTTCTTATTCTACTCGGGTGGATGAAATACTGCAAGAAATCTGCGGAGACAACGGATTGCTCGGTGATTTCCTACCAGGCCAAGAGGATTCACGTTTTTGCTTCTTAGCCACAGCTCTTCTGGTCGGTGTTGTATCTTTCTCTGGCTCACACGTTTGTTCTTTTGATGTCAATCTCTGGCGTAAGTCGGTGAGTGAGATCCCCGTCGGCTTCGGGTTCTTTTTCCGCCGCCGAGATTTAGCCTGCTTGAAGGATTTTGTCGGTGGGCCAGCTTGGGTTCTGGGAAGGTCAAGGGAGAAAAGTGAGGGCATTCGAATGAAAGTGTCTCTGACGGTTCAAGATCTTCAAGAGCTTTGGGGCCCAGTATGGCTTGTTGGGGGGACACGCGAGAATGGTCCAATCATTCGCACAGAGCGTGGCTTTGTCGTTCCCCTTCCCCGTCATCAGCAATCAGACATAACTGGTCGAGGAGTTGAGTGTCATTGGACTAAGACATGCCCATTATATGCGGACGCGCTGAATCCGATAATGTTAACCAACACATCACGCGTGTTGATCGGGACTACTTTTGGACTTACGGTCAACTCGCAATGTCAGAATCAGATCGGCGACATTCAGGGTCATTTTGCCAATCAGCTTCAGCTTCCCGGTGCCTGCAATCACTATTATATCACAGAGGGCTATGAGGTTCAGTTAATTGGAGGTCAGTATGTGACTGGTGGTATTGTGGGAAAACGCAAACGAATTCCAGCAACGACCTTGAAGGCTGCTCTCATATCAGAAATCCTGGACCCAGAGCTCGATGTTACGCCTCTTTTGAAGATGAACATAGGGCTGGAGATTAGTCCATGTACTGGAAATGCGCGGCGCCTGAGCCTTTGGCACACTCTGTATCTTTCCCAAAAAAGCCAGAGACCTCACAAACTAGCAGATTGCAAACACGGCATCGGTAACATTGAATGTATTGAACAATGCTGGAAACAGAGCCTCTCAAACCGCTCTACAGCCGGCGTTCGTTGCTTTGACTGCGGAGTTGCCAATACAACAACGGCACCGCCCGCAGCTACAAATTTCAAAAATGACATATCCAACAATAATGTCGCCAGATCAAGAATCGTGAGCGCCATAATGGCACTCCAACACACCGGCCTTGACCCCGAAGGAAATCTCCAAGCATACTGGCCTTTCGTCGAAACCCGAATGACCAGGCGTATTCAGCCCAGCCGGTCCAGCAAGTGGTTCAATATTATTGCCGACACCCGAGACAGTGCTACATTTGCAGTAGCCAGCTATCATTGCCTGGAGCTCCAAGGAGAACGTTCATTAACATGTCGCCTAAACGGCTATCGAGATCCCTTGCAAAAGACATGCCTATCTATCCGTGTTGCGCAGCAGCCTCTCACCATGACAGAAAGAGGAATTAGACAAAATCTGGGTCTTTTAACCCCTCCCCCGAACCTGATCTTGCTGATTTGTCGCCTGGTGCTTCATTCTGCGTGGCAGGGACGCAGCTGTATGTGAAGGAGATATGGCATGGTCAGCAAAATGCCATCATTGCCTGCACAAATTCGAAAATTTCTCAGATTGTGAAATGGACAGGGCTCCCAATATTTCTCGAGCATTTGAATCCTGAAGTGGGGAAACCGGTTGATGTTGTGATTTATAAGAAATGATATCTATTCCATCAGCAGCTAGAAACACATCTGTAGGGGACTAAAATTTTTGAAATTACGAGAATTGCTTACGGGCACAATAATCTAAACCCTCACGGGGCTTCATTTTGTGGGTCTGGTTCTTTTACTAATTTAATACGGTATTCCCATAATCGGGAGTTAGTTACACACTTATCCTATGGGGGTCATTGATATGAGGGCATACTAAAAAGCTTAACTATGGCGGGTAAAAGTCCCCCAGGCCTTGGAAAAGGCTACCTCGACCCTTGGGAATCTAATGGCTACCTTAGTCATCCGCGTATAGGCTTTGACAATACCCACATTACCCAATACCTACATAGTGTATCACCAAACGTAAGGTACTGTATAAGTAATATTACGGGAATATTGATATTCCGGGTCTATGCCTAATATAGTATAGTATATCTTGGCATTAGGGTTCGAATTAAAACCGAAGAGTATAGGTGGTGACACCAGTTTCGAGACGTACTGTACAACCTGCCAGAATTCGGAACACAGACTCAACATCATGTGCCCGAAAGCAACCATGAGAGAGCCCACAATGAGGAGCGTTCGGAGGTAGCCGCGGTCGTAGATGGGACCGACAAACAGTCCGACAAACAGCAGCATGAATGCGGCAATTGAGCTCACCCACGATATGTCGGACGAGCTGGAGTGGAAGAGAGCACCGGACTCATAGTAGGTTTGGTAGGCGCCAAAGGTGTTCATGATGCCCCATGTGTTGAAGTACAGCATAAAGCTGCCGAGTACGTTGAGCCATGCTAGTGTACCACCGTTTGGAGGTGAGGATGGCCCCACAGGCTTCTCTTGAGGAATGGATTCTGGAGAAAGAGCAAACTTCTCTGCCTTGTCGCCCATGTCGATCTTTCACGGTGAAATTGATCAGAGACAGGTGAAAAGCTTGACTTCATCTTGAACTCCTATTAGCTCGTCTTAACTCCTCTTTTTATACATAGCTTCATATATCGGGTTATTTCTCTATTCGGTCGTCTCTCGGATGTTGTCACTTCATCATTGAGCCTCCCGAGATGTTAACTCCATTGGGAAAATCCCGGGGACTACCCCCATTCAGTCGTATCTCGGAGTTATCACTTCAGCCCTAACGTCGATCAAAAGGGTACTCCGAGCGTCCAATCAAATCTATATTTTTGTCTGTCAGAAATGTTTAAGCCTACGACTTGGCGTTCCTTTCTCGTATATTAGCTGCCTAATATGGTCATATTGCCTCCAGTTTTAAGGGTTGCCTTGGAAAATCCACATGTTTTGTTGCCTAATAGCTTGTGCTGACAATTTGAACTAGTTAGCAATAGACGGAACCTGTTTACCGGTTTGCTATTCTGCTAGCGGGACGGGGCCCGCTGCGATGCCGTAGTTGCATATGCCTGCGAGTTTCATCGACGCGGCGCAGGGTACTACGGGCCAGGAAATTGTCATGACCACGACTGAGTCTCGAATTTGCATCCCAACGGTATATGTCCATGGTATGGCCAATCCGAACCTGATGCTAAATACACACTAGCTTAGAGGACTACTATAACCGAATTATATGTTATCACAATAGCATTGAGTAGAACAATTCCAAGGTTATTCTTAGGTATAAAAATTCGATTGTCTCCCCCTCTCTATCTCATAATCATTGTAAATAAAAACACCAAAAATGAGATTACATTATAAAGCACCGTTTAGTGTACACCTGCGCAGATACCACCTTGATCCGAAAGCAAAGAACACAGCCATTAATTCGCCTTCCATAGGTTCTTTACATCCTTCTTGACTGGCTTCAGAAGGCCTTTGATCTCCGCCTTGAGAGCCTTCTTGTCTTCTTTAGACCACACTCCACTCCGCTTGGCGGCTCTGAGATCCCGGACGTGACCTGTAAGTAGAGTCGAAATGTTCTCCACCGTGCACTTAGTGCACTTCTTCTCATCGGCAATATCATTCAATGCAGTTGCCAATGTTTGTATGATATCTTTTGCCTGCGGCTTCTGCAATTCGTGATCGAGAAGTGGGACTTGGCTGGGCCCGTGGGTTAAGCAATCTGGCTTAGGGCTCGTACTAATTGGATTTTGGTTAGCAGCTGCCGCGTTCTAACAAGAAATAAAGTTGTGGGGGTGTGGGTTTTCTAGAGACTTACAGTTTTTGCTGTTGTTTCTCGGTATTGTGTAACTCGACATGGTCGACAGAGATGTAGGACGGGGCCTTGGAGTCCTCGGTCTTGAAGTCGGTCATGTTGTTCGTTTGTAAAGGGAATAAGGGTTATATATAGCGTTGGTGAATAGTAATTTCTGAAGAAAAGGCTTCTAGTTTTGTTGGCTCTCAATATCCTAGCAGAGTGATATTTATATCTATACTCTGTTGTATTGTACTATGAGATTACCAAAACGGGAAAGTCCGATATATCCGAGGATTAGCAGATTTGGTGGCTCGGCCGAGCAAATTGTCTGATCAGGCTCGGGGATATTTCGGTATATTTACCCAATGGGGATTTTAAATCCGAAGTAGATCTTAAATCCGAGTCCCGTCCCTGTCACTGCCTGATTGGGATGTCTCAAAATAAACGTTGGACCATCAATTGATGATGCCTTGAGGTGAGAAAGGAGGCTTACTGTAGATAGTTGGGCTCCTCTTTATCCTATTTCATTTCCTCCCTCTCCCTCTTTTCATAGGAATGCGGCTCTATTTCTTTGCAAACTCTGCCACATCTTCACCATAACGACTATTTTGTTACAACACAGACACCTTCTCATAATTCTCAACTTACACCCTACTCATCAATAAAGGCTTGAGTGCACCCACCATGTTTCGATCACTACTAGCAATGGCTGGTAGGGGCCCGAAATACATCTTTCCCGAAGTCGATCCGAAAGTCGATGGAGACGACTGTCGCACCGACTGCAACGACTGCACCGTAAAATGTCCACAAAACGTCAAGATTGACACCACTCTTCCGATGTACGGATTCATCAAAGAGTTCCACGCGCACATACTCGTCGCCACAGGCCAAACAGATTGGATTCGGAAAGTCGAACAAGAGAATGGGAGTTTAATGGAGGCGTTCAAATCCGACGCAAAGTCCAAGCACGGGGTTTGTTTATTTTATCTGGTAGCAAAGCCTGGGAAATATGCTAACTGCGTGCGAAAAAAAAGCGCCTCATGATCTCCGCGTCGAACCTTACTCCGCCGGGTGGAGAGGTGCCTAATACCTCTAAGACAACAGTCCTCCTACTACCATCGTTTACCTTTGTGGATGATGTCTCTTACTCAGATGCCCAGCACGTGGTCCAGACGTTCATTGACGTGTCAGCGGGTACCCCAATCCAGCCCATCAGCAGTCCACGATTGAATTCCCGACCATGTCCACATGACTACGTAGTCCTGCTGTGCTCACATAAGCGGCGTGATGCGCGCTGTGGAATTACAGCACCATTGATCAAAAAGGAGATGGAGCGACATCTTCGTGGAAATGGTCTTTACCGAGATATGGCTGATGAGCGCCCTGGTGGTGTGGGGATTTATTTCGTCTCCCACGTTGGAGGACATAAGTTCTCTGCAAATGTGTTGATTTACCGGAAAAAAGAACAGCAGATGATTTGGTTGGCTAGGGTCAAACCAGACCATTGTGAGGGGATCGTGAAGTACACAATCCTGCAAGGGAAGGTTGTTCATCCAGATTCGCAGCTTAGGGGGGATTCGACAGAGCTAAGGGGCTGGTAAGCTGGTAGTGTCTAAACCAAGTGCTGGGGTCTAGTCTTCATTGATTGAAGTTTCCTTCCAGTAGAAGCAATATGACCAGAACTTTTCATCCATACCTTACCTCCACCTACGAACTGCCCGCTGACAGACCGAAGTCTAGCACCCCTGGGACAGAATTCCTCCTACAGAACTTGTTGAAATGGATACCTTGTTTGTTGGGCTATGCACGTTTGTAGGAATTAACATTTCTTCTCTCTCTCTCTCTCTGGTCCCCAATATCTTCACCAGAACTTCTGAGGCCGACTCGCCTGGGGACGTCGAGTGCTATAGGCGGATGCTTGTCCTTCATAAGCCTAGACAAAAGGGAATTGATTCGATAGGATAGATAAAATTCACAGCCCTGGAGGGAATGGATGATCTTCTAAGCTATGGGATGCCCGTTGAGGGCGGTAACCCCAACCCAACCCCCATTTCTTCGATAGAATGGACTCAAAAAACGAAGTAGAAATAAAATAAAGACAATCTTCCCCCCACCCTTTTCTTCACCCGCTCAGGCGAGGAGCTCGTCCCAAGATCTAGCGATATAGATACATGTGGATACCAGGGAAAGGGACATCTCGACTCCTTGGAGAAACCCAATAAAGGCAAATTGCAAATGAAACCATCCACTGGGAGGGCAAATGTGGATACCCGACTGTGATCCTCAGTGGAGGCGAGCGCAATGATTATATGCTAAATGGGGTCCATTGGCAGAAGGCCATCAGTAGTCCGGCGCAGGAGCTATTCGCACATTGGTGGCGCCGGTGATACTCTTGATATCATCGAAAATGTCAGACATCAAGGTCATTGTCCCAGTGTCTTTTCTTTCGTCGCCAGATGTTAGCATCCCAACAAGCACACCACCTTTGGTATATATCCACGATCCGGAGTCACCCTTCTCGGAAAAGGGGCCATCTAGACCGCTAGCAATCTTATGTTCCCATGTTGGAATAACTTGAGAAATGCCGTACTCGTCTAAAGCTTCAGTGAAGCGGACGCAATCTAGCAAGCTGTATGTTCCTGTTGTGATCCCGGTAGAGCGTCCACATTTCTGAAGTTCCAAGCCGCCGAAGGGTCCAAAGCTTGGATCATATATAAACTGCCGTGGAAGTGGCACTGGAGACCCATAGTGGAAAGGCTAAAGCCAGTGACACATTAGCTACAAAGCAAAGCGTGAAAATGGACATGATAACTTACCTGGTTGGCAGAAATTCTGTCTCCGTGTTGCTGTGGTTGTAACCGCTCGGGCTTGATTTTAATTAGAGCCCAGTCAGTCGAGATCAGACGAGGTTCTTGGTTTGTATCTGTGCTTTTCAACTCCCGGGTTCTGTTGAGACCACTTCCAGCGTAAACATGGCCTAGAAGGTAACTGCCACTATTACGCATTGCAATAAAGGGGTTGCGGAACTCCTCGACGTCCTGGATGTGTCTGACCATTGCACGGTAGTTGGCATGGGCTGGTTCTGGGAGCCATCCATCGTCACCCTTATTTATCTCTTTCTCATACTCCAGAAACTGTGGTGTCCTAATTTTTGCAATGCTATCATTCATTGCCTTGATGGTGTTGTCCAAATCTCGTAGTGAAGGATGATCAACCCATAGAAGCTGTTGAGCAACATCAGGGAATGATTCGGGCATTCGAGGATCAAGTGGAGAGAACTCCCAGGTTTCGATGGCTAGATTCACTGTATTAGCTTGAATGTATGGTACTGAAGATATTAGCCTACCTTGAGAAGCATCGTGGATGTTGGACCACTCAGGGTTGCGGTGGTTCGTCGGTGGCCAAACAGCATGGAAGCATGTCAGGCCGTAGGTATGCCATTCAGCTCTACCGGAAAACTGGAGTTGCACAAGACCACCAAGGGTGGAAGTTCTTGCGGAACATTGATGGATTCCGAGGCTAACACCGGGGTGAATCGCTCCCGCACAAACATCTCTATATAGAGTAGGATTCTGTATAAGTGGCACATTGCTGTCTCTCTGAAATAAGACGTCCACATCAGCCAAATCAAAGTCTGCGAGGATCCCATGTAGATGCCGTGCCGCTGCGATAAATGCGGTCGTGCTAGTTTTGCGGACTTGGACAATCACAGTGACAGGGTTTAATTCTCTCACTATATCTGTTCCGTATCTCCAACATTCCAAAGCAGTCCACTCGTGGAAATCAGTATGTGACAGAATAAAGTATACAATCGAGGGCCACTTGCGAACGATGGGGTGTCCCTTATTCACAGGGGAGCAGTAGATCCCCTGATTTAGCTTCTCTTCGATCAGCTCAACACAGATCCCTGGAATTTCCTTGGCTAGCTCTGGCTGAATATGACATAAAGCACGGTACCATATATCCGGATTTGGCTGATTCGGCATCACAATAAGCATAGTGAGGATAGGTTCAGGTTCTGGGTCAACCTTTGAGATACGCCCGACAAGCCTCGCATAGATAAATTCAAGCCCATATTCCCCTAGGATGGTGGCTGTAAGATCTTGAATTCTAAGGGACAGTGTAGGATCTGTAGAAGGGACATTTGTCTTTGTTGTTGTTGGAAGGGAGCATAGCATCGGGCCTCCAACACGGTGGGAAGATTTCAAGAATCCATGACTGTCCACATATACTGAGCCGCCGAATGGAGAGAAGGATGATGAAGCTGAGCAAAAGCTCAGTGCGTGACAACTAGCCTTCGAAAGGGTAGAAGATGTGAATGCGGAAGACATCGTGGTCAATGATATAAATATAAGGCGATGTGATGAGATAAAGTGATTCCAGAGAGAAGTGAGAAAGAAGTGAGAATGATTCTAGAGAGAAGTAAGAGTTCCTAGGAAATGAGAGAAAAGTCAGGTAACAAAAGATAAATCAGAGTTTGAGCTCCGGTCTTAATAGGCTGCGGCGCAACCAGATCATAACGAGGGGGGAAAACCTCAAGTTATGATCCAAGGACTGTTGAAGCAGGCAATAGGCAATATTGATAGGAGTAGAGTTGTTGTTATTTGCACGTTTCAAAACTAGATGTCTTCAATTTCATACGTACTCTTTCCAATCCGCTTCTGAATTAGCCTGATAATTTCTGTCTCTGAGATCGGCAAATTGAATATTAAATGGTAAATCGGACTTAAGTAGACCAGCCTCCGATCAGGTTAACCATCGTCATCTCACTCGGAGATACTTTTGGGGGTTAACATTAACCCCGAGAATCAGCAATCATATAAGTTTCTCTAGTACCATTTTTCCTTCCACACTCACCGGTCAAAGAATAGCCACAATGATTTCCAAGATCATCGTTATTACAGGTAATTAGAACTTGCCCAATGTCATTATCTTTGCTAATTTCCGTTCAGGTGGAAACACAGGGATCGGACTGGAGACCGTCAAGGCACTCTACCACTCTAATCAGAATTATCATATCCTACTCGGTGGCCGCAACTTCGAAAAGGCTCAGCTAGCATGCCAGAATGTTATAACCGAAGCGGTACAGAACACTATAGAGCCATTCTTAGTTGATGTCGAGAGCGACGAATCGATCGAAGCGGCCTTTAGTCAAATTGCGGCCAAGTACGACCGAGTTGATTGCCTGATCAACAATGCTGGTTTGTCCCACAATATTTCCTAGAAGGCACAATCCGACTAACTAACCTCAGGCGCTTCCTTTGATCCCTACATTGACCAAGGCATGACAGCCCGGCAGGCGTGGAACATGTCCTGGGATGTGAATGTTACGGGCGCACATATCATGACAACCAAATTCCTTCCGCTGCTACTCAAGTCTCAAGACCCCAGGTTGTTGTTTATCACCAGTGGCCTCTCCTCCCTGCAGGGTGCTTCTGATCCTGAGGATCCTAGAAATACCTCTGCACCAGCCGGGCTACCCAAGGCCCTACCATTTGTTGGATATCGATCAGCAAAAGCCGGCCTCAACATGTTGATGGTGCAATGGTATAATATGTTGAGGAACGATGGTGTGAAGGTTTGGGCAATTGCTCCGGGATTGTTGGCAACCTCCTTAGGGGGAGATACAGAGCTGTTGAAAAGGCTAGGAGCGCAAGACCCTAAAGTTGGAGGTGAAGTTATTCGCGGAGTTGTGGAAGGCAAGCGGGATGGAGATACCGGGAAAGTAGTGCGCGAGTACTCGTCGCCGATTCAGCCTTGGTAATTCCTCGGTACAAATAGTGGTGACTGATATCGTGATCATAGTGTATGGTTGACGAGCAGTTTAATATGGCAAAGCGAATTTCGTCTCTTTCAAGGCTCAAAATGCAAAAGGTTGGTACTATAATGCTCATTTCCCACGCAGTTCTGGAGGTCCTGGATTTGTTACGTCTAATGTGGTTGTAGACTATTATCATCTAGTTAGCAGTTCATAGGAACTTGTAGGTCTATAGATATCTAATGTCGTAATCACGCTGGAAATTCAACAACTACAACGCCGGGTTTCCTCTCGTTGCCATGAGATAGCTTTTACCATTCAATAATGTCAATCATGGAAATTCTATCTCTCGTCGGAGACCTCGATCTTCTAGACAAGTGCAAACAAGCTTGTTATCACTTGGGTCGGCTGGATCGACCCTGAACATAGTGGTTTCCGGAGCTCCTAGGCGTCCGATGTGCGTGACTCTGCTGAGTACATCGTTTATCAAGTCCAGAATCGGGGAATACTAATGTTATATTAGTACTGTAATGTACTATTATATCATCAATTCAGGGCTGATGATGGGTGAACTAAATATAGGACGGGATGCTCCACACTAAAACAACCTTATCTCTCAGCCTCCATTTCCCAAAATACCTAGGTACTATCTATCTATGGGTCCGTATATCATCAAGTCATCTTGCTCAAAAGCAACTTCGGAATTATCAGCGAGTGGTTTGTCCGATAATTCATACTTCATCTCTCAGTACCCAACAGAATGACTAATTCTAGGTGTAATAATATCCCAATACCTAGCCACTCACCTATGTTGTAAAAGAAAGTCAGAAAACATTCCCTAGCCAAAATTGCTTCTCTAGCTTCTATATTCGTCATGACTGCGATTCTCAATTCTCGTTCCTTCTATTGATATCCAAAAAAAGAAAAACCATTGCTTTATCATTCCTGGTCTACAAAAGCCCCCCTTGTCCCGATCCGTCAAATCGGAGCCTTGAATCTAAGGCAGCGATATTATAAATCCGGCGGCTCATCGGCCCCTGGTAACACCGAGGTTACAATTAACCTTACTACGTAGCATGTCGAATATATCATTGCTTTCCACAGCAGGTCATATAAAAGAGCCTCAAGCCCAAACGAGATTGATCTAGCCAAATTCTCTCATAGCATTAATCTAAGTCATTGAGTTCCTTTCACATCCTCTCAAGATGTCCTCAACCAACAACGTCGCATTCACCGCTCCAATCAATCCACCAGGCACAATACCCGTTGTAACTCCCGAACAAATATGGAACGGCCTCCTCCTCAAGATCCGCTCCGCAGAGACATTTGTTCCAGGGGCGATCCAATCCACCAAGGTCATCAGTGACTCCGTCGACCCATCAACCGGAAACCCCGTCACCGTTCGCGAAGTCCTCTTCCGTGAAACCCAGAAAATAGTTCAAGAGACCGTCACAACTTTCAAGCCTACCCGCGTAGACTTTGAGCAGCCGGGTGGAAGCAAAATCAGTAATGTGATCAGTCAAGGAGCCGGTGGAGAGCTATACATGACGTATATCTTCGAGTGGAGACACCCCGGCGTTTCGGAGGTGGAGTTGGCGGCGCTGCTCGAGAAGGAGAAAAGATGAGCCAGATGGCGGTTGAGGGAACAATCAAGGTGTTGAGGCAATTGGTTGAGGAGAAGAAACTTTGAAGTTGATAAGTGGCGGGAAAACACCGTACTTCACCCACGATATCATGAATTCCACATTCGGCCCTCGATCATCTTCTCAGTAAACTTCACCCCATAATCACCACATCTTTGATATAGCGTATTCTCGGCGTAATGAGTTATCAAAGCTTTCCTTCTGATAGCCCTTTCGCCAGTCATGCTAGAAGCAAGCAAAGCAGTCGTGGGCGAATCGAATCGTTTCCTCCGAGCATGCGACTCCCATACAAAGTACCTCGGATCTCCAGACAGAGATTCAATGTCATCTAGGTCCAAATGACAGAAAAAGACAACTCGTCTCTTAACATGGATTAATCGAATGGCCTGAGCCCATTCCTTGCGCGTCAAAGACAGAACATCAAGCTCCAGCTCTATCAGTCCCTCACACAGTCTCAGTAAATTCCAGCAGCTCTTCATATCATCCCATCCATTCCAAATTGGATCCCGACACTGCGGAAATGTACTAGGGTGTTCATTGTTGTTGTAAGCATGAATAGGCATAAACGATATCCGCCTCAGCCACGATCTCACTTGCGGACGAATAGCAGTCAAGAATCCCGTTAGGAGAGAGGGGTCCTCAAAGGCAAACCAGTTTTCCGACCAGAAGACCGGTGCAGCGTCGTTCCAGAACCTTTTGCTGGCGAGCAGAATGGCTAGATTGTCACGTCTTCCACATAGACATGGTAGAAACCTCATGCACGGGATCCCCTCCACGTTTCCGTTCAGGTCCCAGTAGCAATTGTCGCAGAGATAGGTATTTTTATGCGGTTGTGTCCATTGGCTCCGTGCCGGGGACTCGAATACCGGGACTTGCGGCTGCTTCCAGACGTGGTTATGGCAGTTTGCACATTGAGGACCTTTTCTGTTCCAGGGATCTAGATCTGGGTCTTCTCGCCAGGCTTCTGTGTCTGGGCCTGGTCTTGTACGGAGTATACGCATTTTGCATGGGTCTGAGTGATATAGATCAAATTTGCATGGCTGGACGAGAAGTTGGCCGTAAATGTTATTTCTTATCTCTTGTGGAAGGGAGAAGAATCTAAATTCCAATGTTAGGAGTAGAAGTTATAATAGGAAGTAAGAGTTCATACCTCTTGAAAAGAGGAGACTCTTCATGTTCTTGGGGATCTATAAGATGTGTCTCCTGTACATGATTTGCCTTTGATCTTGCTCGTTGGACCCTTTTCGGTGTGGGATGTAATTCTCGGCGTCGCATATACCGATGGAATTTGGGTTCCAAGTCAGGTTCTGAAGATGATTTCGCCATTTACTTGTAAATTTCAGAATATAATAGAATATAATCCAGATAACTAAATTACTCAGACATGTCTATCCATGTAGAATTATAAATTCGGTTAAATGTAAGACACCTGCCACGTGATAGTCAGGTTTCAGCCTTCACGGGGACTCAAAGAGGAAATGATAACACAGAGACTGTGGCGCAGCACACTATATAGTTACCCACCTACAATATACTGGTGAGACAAAAGGAGAATATATTGCATTCTGACTCAGTAAAAGATTTACCTAAATGTGGTTATTCATTCAGATATTAGGAATCAGCACCTTGCCCTCAGACACGCTAGCAGCAGTGCCCGTCAGCACAACTTGTTCAATCTTCTTGTCGCTATCCAGCGTAACCCCAACACCAATATCACTCCGGCGTCCCATCTCAACACCCTGCACAACATGGTACTGATAATTCTGACCAGCCTTACCCTCTGTAAGCGCCAAGTACGCTGCCAACCCACTAGCCGCACTGCCAGTAGCCGAATCTTCCAAAGTTCCCAGCATCATCCTGGATCGAATGACCTTCTTCTTCGAGACACTATCCTCAACATCCCGAACAATGAAGTAAACACAGACCAACCCAGTCCTCCACCCCTCATCAAGAGGCTCAGCAGAAACCAGCTCACCACCGGTCGCAGGCGTCACAGCAGCCAGCGCCTCAAGCGAAGGAAGCTCAATAAACAACTGACTCATCCCATTGACAATGGAAAAGAGCGGGAAAGTAACATCCGGCCGCGTAAAGAACGGCGCCAGCGTCGGGTGCAGCCTAACCAACTCCTTCAAGGTAAACCGCCCAGCGTGGATGCGCGTATTGTGCGCAATCTGCGCAGCGACGTATTTGGTCTCCCGATTCTGGACGGAGATGGGGATGTCGCCGGACTTCGTTGTGAGTGTGGTGACGCCATCGCCATCCGCGGGGTCGGCTGAATGGCTTAGGAACCAGGAGGCTGCGCCAATGGTGGGATGGCCTGCGAAGGGGAGTTCGCAGTCTGTGGTAAAGATGTCGATGGTGCGCTTGTTTTTCTCGCGTACTGGGTGGACGAAGATACTCTCCGATAGATTGAATTCCCGTGCGAGGGTTTGCTTCTGGCTCTGCGTTAGAGCGATTGAGTCGTCTTCTGGGAGAAAGACTACTGCTAGCGGGTTGCCGGAATAGGGTGTTGATGTGAAGACATCGAGAGTGACGAATTTGAGGTGAGTCATGTTGGAGTATTGGGATATTGGGATATGTCGCGGTTATCAACGGGGAAGTCGGATGGGTTTTATAGTTGCAACCTGGTAAGCTGCCCCCCACTTTTCGGTTTGACTCATCGAACTTCAGTCTGTCTCCAGAACAATTGGATTATTTAAAACGACTGAATATAGAGTGGACATACAACCTCTACACTCGTGGGAGAACAAAATCCTTCTACCCCTCCTATTCCCCCATACCTTCAGCCCCTCAATCAACGCTCTACTAAAGTCAGGATCATACTTCAATCCATCATCCCTAGAACTAATCCTCCTCCTCCACAATGCCCAATTCTCAACCATCACCCCCTCCGGTGGACGTAAAATGCCAATCGCCACATCAACTATCCCCGGCCGGTCGGTACAGCTATAAAACACCGTCGCACCACACGTCCCACAGAATGTCCGTAGTACCTCTTCACTAGATTTATAACTTTTCGACGACCCGATAATCAAATCCCCCAGTGGAGAAGGAGATATATGATCAACCGGAACGAACATCCAAGCTATAACATTCGAGCTATCGACCAGACGACAGTCATCACAGAGATCAAGAAGCGCAAGCCACTTGGTCGTGGCTCTTGACAAAACCCATCCCTCGCTTGCAGGACTAGCGAGGAATTCCTTTCTAGGACGGGCGATAGAGAACGAAACGCCACCGAAGTGACATCCAGCGCGCAATTCTTCACCCTCGTTTTCGACTGCGCCTGTTCGGATGCTGTCTTGTGACTTGCTATCATCCAGTGACGTCTCGGGGTTAATAACATCAAGTTCGCGATCACCAATATGCGAGAACATTGCCGAAAGCCCTCCATCAGGCGAGGAGTTTGGTAAAAGCATGTGAGGCATCTCCCATATACCCTGGTTTGGCTCGGAGAAGATAGCCGTAGATATCACCCAGCCCCCGTCATCGTGTGACTTATCCCCGATGTGGCAGCCGCAGGTACTACAGAAATAGCGCGTTCCCTGGGACTCGGAGTGGTTGTAGGGTGTTAGTTTGTCTATGCTGGAAGGAACGATGAACTGCGGTACTACGCCTGCTGGTAGCGGGGCGTGGAAAATACATGGCCATGGGTGTAGCGACAGACGCTGCAATGGCATATGTGACTTTGAGGGGGAAGGCGACTGCAGGAATTGTTATGGAGAAATGGATGCTTTGGCAGTGGCACGCTGCTGTGAGAGTCTTGCTATCAGCCATCTTGGAAGTCGGTGGGAAAAGATGGGTTCTCTGCGACTGAGCAGAGGTCAAGTGTGGGGAAGCTCGTAATTTGTATGCTTCATCAAGCACGGACCTTGGACCTTGGCTGTCTTGGTGACTGGGCTGATGGGAAATATTAGGTCGTAAAATTGTTCTCATTGAGTTTAGGTATCCGATGCTTTACAATTCCGTTTCCATCTCAATGCCAAACGCCTCATCAGGTCATCATAATCGAAACATATCACCAATATTGATGTGAACCCACTATTCAGAGTCACTCTCAATCACAAATCCACCGCGCATACGTCTCCGGGCTGGAGCCACAGGTGCATCTTCTTCGTCATCGTCTACAGCCTCGGACTCCGTAGCCTGGGGCTTGCTCGGGGCATCACGAGTAAAGGCGAAATCATCATCAAAAGCAAGATCATCCTCATCTGATGTGAGAGGAGTGTCTTTGTCCTCTCTAGCGCCGTGGCTAGTAGAGATCTCCTGCTGGGAGTGAGACGACTGGGCGTCAAGCTCCGCCATGAGAATATCGCCGTCAGCATCACTCTCAGCACCGCTAGCAGCAGAACCAGAATCACGACGTTGTCGCTTCGATTTTGCGGCTGCGGATGTGCCGGTATCGCTAGTTCGCTTGCGGGCGGCAGACTTCTTCCCTTTGCCCTTGCTTGAGGGTTCGACGGTGCCAGTAAGCAAGGCCTTCTTGATTTCTTTTGCCTGTCTGACTCGCCGCTCTTCTTCAAGCCGGAAGAACTCTTTGTCGGCTTCTTCGTCGCTTTCCTCGTCGCTGGCATGGATGAACAGATCACTCTTGATCTTCGCTTGGCGAGAAAGTGCGTTTGATAGACGCGCATCACGCCGCGCTTCTAGGGTGTCATCGTCCAGTGGCTCCCTTTCAGTTGTGGCCTTCTGCTTCTTCTTACGCTTCTTCTTAAGGTCATCCAGCGCACTGGACTTTGACCGCGGATTCGCCGGGAATAAAGGACCATCGGGAATGTCCTCACCTTCGGACTCGGATCCAAAGTTGACATCAAGTGTGCCTTGGGTCATGTTCCCACGACCATTTCCTCTGTTCTTCGGTTGGATGTGCTTGCGAGGATCATCATTTGGATCTCCGGAGAATGGATTTTGAAGGGATTTCAAGATTTCAGAAATCATTTCACGCAAGTCATCGGACTTGAGGGAGGCCGGAACGACCCAAGAGGCACCATGCACATCTTCAACGCCAAGTCGCTCGAATCCGACGACAGTCATGAGCAGACGTAGCTTTGCGTTCGAGAACATGGAATTCTGAACAAACTCGTTTTTGCCCTTGACGGCTGTTTCTTTGTTAGTGTCGACCGAGAAACAGGATATTGGGGGAACATACTAATCATCGGATTGGGAACGCTAATGGTCTCGGGGTTATCAGCGCGACGGGCTTCTTCTTGGGTTTCCCAGTCCTCTCTTTCGGAGGCTGCGGAGCTCAATACATCCTTGATCCATGTTACCAGATCTGCCCTACCATCGAGAACAAGAGCTCCAACCACGAGGTGTAGTTTCGCTTCCTTCGTCGTTGCCTCCGGCGATGTAATCAAAAGATCCGGCGGGGGACGCTTATAGGTGGACATCGTCTGCTTCTCGTGTCCATATTCAAGGTAGTAGACAGTTGAGTTGATCTTGCTGAATAGCAGTTCAGTGATCAAGGCGGGCCGCTGATCAATCTTCTTGACCAGTCGTCGAATTATTTGCCGGACCAATTCCTCCCATTCCTTAAATACAGACTTGCTCGAGTCCATGGAGCCTGGGCCTTTGATCATTCGATAGAAAAGGCTGATAATATCCACTCGAAACAGCAAGACGGTCATCTCCTGTTTGAATGCAATTCGGTAGAAATAGCGGTGGGCGCGTTTGAGCTGCTCAGAGTTAAGCTCTCGGTAGAATCCTGTGAACGCAATAAAGGTATCCACGCAATTTTGGTTGCAGAATTTGGCTGAGAATCGCTTAAAGTCAAAGCTACGTTCCTTGATGGCCTGGGCGGCTTCCTCCATGTCTTCATCTTCAGAGTCACGCTCCTCGTCGTCATCTTCTCCCTCTCGCTCGGCGACTTGAGCAGCCTTCTTTTGCCTTTTCTTGGCCTTTCGCCGCGAGCGGATTTGCATGTCGGCATTGTCTTTGGAATATCGTTCCAGCATTCGCAGGAACACATGTGCCAACTCCGTGCAGGCATCTAAATAGCCAAAGCCTTGGTCTTTGTACCCGCGCACAATAGCAAGAATCCGGTCATGGGTTGTTTCTTCATAGAAAATTCGGTTTTGGATATTCTCCGCGATTTCCTGATCTTCTTCGAGCGGCGACACTGCCATTTCCTGGACAGTCAACAGAATCTGGGTGAAGCAGCGCATCTGAGCATTGAGGTCTTCCCATTCCTTGTTGTCCAGGCTACTCTGCATAGCCCGGTTCAAAGAAATGAACGTCTCTTGGTTCAGGACGCCAGCGACCAGCCCATAGCTATCGGGTTCAATATCTTTGGTTCTTCCTCCATTCTGAGCCGTGCGATGGCGAAGCTGTCGAGCCCGTCGTACGCGCTCTGCTTCTAGGAACCAACCAACTGTATAAAAGAATTGGCGATGATTGAGTGGTACTACACGCTCGGCTTCACGCTCAATTGCTTTCCGCACATGGGTGAATAGAGGGTTGAACCCGGAATCCAGGAACTCCTCCACGAAAGTCCGCAGGTTCTTAGTTGCCTCGGAATTAAGGTGAGCTGGCATGTTGAAGTTGTTGTTCTGGACCACATCGTCTTGTTTGCGACGAGGCCGAGGCTTATTCCACTTTTTGCTCTCATCCATCTTTTGTAGTGTGGTCTGGTCGTCGCGCAAGACACCTTGTCCAGAGACAGTAGACACCTTCGCATCGTCTCGCTTGACCCAGATCATTGTACCGAATCTTCCATGGCGTGTAGGCGCATTCTTTGCGTATTCCCTCCGTACCAATGATTCCTTTTTCAGTAGATCGCCGAGTTCGTCAGTTCGCTTGGCCGTTCTCTGCTCATCATCCATGAACAACTTCTCAACGTTGACACCCTTGACAACATGGAAAAGCGTCTCCATCAGAGGAATGTCTTGAAGGTTGAAGTCTTCGCCGACATTAGAGCACATGGTCAGGAGAAGTGCGAATGCATCTTGCTCATGGAAGGCGTTGATTGTTGCCGATCTGGATGTCTCCTCCTCGTCACCTTCTGCCGCAAGTCGGGTATTGGGGGATATGATCGCAATGTTTCGCAGTAAGTACAACATGAGCTTGAGGATTCCTTCGTCTCGGGTTGAACGTTCGGATCGAGGGGTCGCCATGCTTGGAAGAGAGATTCGAATGACTGCGCGAAGGAGATTCAATCCGCCGGATCTGAGGATACCTCGCTTGTATTGCACCTGTGTCTGTTGGATGTAGGGGGTATGACGGTGGTGGTTGACTGTCATCTGGCTATGAAACTCCACAGGCCATGTTAAGGGAACAAGAAGTTCCAAGCACGCCAGTGAAATTCTGGTCATATGCTTGCTATTTTGTCCAGTAGCCCACCAGAGCGAGAGGATCGGAAGCAGATCACCATTGATCAGGTTGGCCTCTCCAAGGCACCGCGCAACGTCCATCCGGTTATTCTTTTCATCGTACAATTTCAACCAGCGTTTAATGTCGCGTAGGCATGCCAGAGCATCATCTCCGAGCACGTATTGGTCGGCATTTTCGCCATTGAATCCTCCGAGCTAGGTAACCAAGCGTATCAGTGAATTGACCCAGAGTCGGGCAAAGGAGAAAGTGGAAACTGAACTCACAGCAGTAACCAGGCCGTAAACATAGTTGCGCACGTCTGGGTCCACGACTTGCACGTCGTGTCCTAGAGGAACAACCTCTTCATCCATGGTGGGCTAGTTTGATAGCCCATTAATTTGCTTCCCGAATCGAGTTGAATGGGAACGCGTCGACGCGTGTTCGGCTTCGGCGGTTCGGAGAAACTGGATGCCGCCAAAGTGCCGAAGATAACCGATGTTCTTACGCCGGAAATCAACGGCCACAATCACAATGTCTGGCAAAATACTCAGATCTATAGATCTATCTGAGTAGAGGTGGTACCTATGTAGTTAGATAACCCTTTCGAACCTGCTCCTTAACATATGTTCATTGTTCCAAGTCAGCCCTAGGAATAATGTATAATATTCCGGTGATTTGGCCAAGTGCTCTATTACTTGACCGACAAGCAATCATGGTCATTTTCAACATACCACCTGGAACTTTCTTTAAGCTGAATTTCAACGCATATGACTTCACATGTGTTATTCTAAAGAATAACTATAGCCTAACTAGCTGTTTTAAGAACCATGGGTTCTATTTGGGCTTTCTCATAAACACTTTCAAGATTATTGACTTTCTAGGGTACTTAAGCCACGGCTTTAATATGCATCTTTCGACCCATATTCTGAATCGTATGGATAGCATAATGTCCCATTACTTCTACTCAAGACTCACCGTCCTCGGCTCTGCCTTATAGTCGTCTGTCTATAATATTACGCCTGAGCAAAGTATTTTCGATGGAGAAGTACAAGGCGGTGAGATATATGCTTCAATGGCCATTATCAAGTACCATACAATGACGTCCGGAAGCACGTGAAGTCATAGCAGTATACTGATTTGCTTCCTCTCACTTACCTCCTTCACTCCTTTTGTTAATTTTCCCCATAGCTCGAGAAACCGCTGCAGACATGCTTATCTCTACTATGCGCTTTGTTTCCCTTCGCAGAGGCCCTACGGTGGCCCGAAACTTCTGCTCAACCTCTGCAGTTCGCGCAGCCGAGGTCAAGTCACTAGGCGTTGTCGGTGCGGGCCAAATGGTGTGTAACACGAAATATAGGACCACGATGCAGGTCTAACAAATTTCCAGGGCTTAGGAATTGCCCTCGTCGCCGCACAGAAGGCAAAGGTCCCGGTAACTCTCGTCGATACCTCACAGGCCTCTCTGGATAAGGGCCTCAAGTTTGCCGGTACGCTGAGCTCCAGTTTGGTTTACTGCAATCGCCTAGGATTATCTGACATGGCATTGGATAATAGATAAACTTCTCGAAAAGGATGTAGCAAAGCAGCGCCTTACTCGAGAGGCAGCTGATGAAGCTCGTGGGCTTATTTCCACAAGCTTGACGCTGGAGGGTCTCTCCGCAGTCGACTTCGTAATTGAAGCTGTACCTGAGATCCCTGATCTGAAGACAAAGATATTTGCCAGCTTAGCCCAGATCGCCCCGAAACATGCCATTCTCGCAACAAACACCTCCTCCATCTCTATCACCAAGATCGCCGCTGCCACCAGCGCGGATCCTACCGACCTTCAGGCTTCGTCCCGGGTCATCTCAACGCACTTCATGAACCCGGTTCCCATCCAGAAGGGTGTAGAGATTATCCGGGGACTCCAAACATCCCAGGAGACCATGGATACTGCCATTGCCTTTGTCCAGCGAATGGGTAAGGTGGCCTCTGTGTCGGCTGATACGCCTGGCTTCCTTGCCAACCGTATCTTGATGCCTTACATCAACGAGGCCGTGATTTGTCTGGAGACTGGCGTTGGTGGCCGTGAGGATATTGACAACATTATGAAGACTGGCACCAACGTGCCCATGGGCCCCCTCGTTTTGGCTGATTTCATTGGTCTCGACACATGCCTTGCAATCATGAACGTTCTTCACCAGGAGACTGGTGACAGCAAGTACAGACCTGCTGGTCTCCTGCGTCGTATGGTGGATGCTGGTTGGCTTGGCAAGAAGAGCGGCAAGGGTTTCTACGACTATTAGGTGCTGTGGGTTGTCCGGGATGGAGAAAAAGCATTTCGATCAAGATACCCTGCCTGCATTATATTAATCTAGATCGCAATTTGCTGGAAATAACAATTGATTATCCGCCCTCATCCATTCTCTAAGCCTGACCCTCCTCCCAACAAGGTTCACCCGATTCTGTTTGCTCCATTGCAGCGACCACTGTATTAACATCAAAGTCCCCATCCGTATCCAGGTCTTCATCTTCGAGACCACGTGGGGGACATTCGCATCGGTCGCGTTGACCACACAGGTAACTTATTTTCCGGTTAGCATTAACGTTTTGCCTAGGAGCTGCACGCATGAACATACCAAAATCGATGTCCACACCTACAAATGATCTGGTTACATCCATCGACCTTCTCCACCAAATACAGGCAATTGGAGCATCTCTGCCAATTATTCTCCTTTGCCAGTTCCAACGTAGCCTTCGTCTCAGGGTCATGGCTACACGACCAGGCGAGATGGAAAAGGTCACCACACTTGGAGCAAACCTTTGCCCGACAATGAGGACAAACACAATATCCTAGCCGTGCCTCCGAACTCTTTGGGGGATCCATTGGCCACACCTCGCCCGAGGACAATACAAGCGCTCTAGAGGAGGGATATTATTCTCCTCCCACCGAATGATATAGCGCTTTTTGTTTCGAGGGCTCATCACCCCCATGAGTGCTTTTGCGGGGATTTCTTGGAAACAACATTTCGCAGGGAACATCTCCGGGCTGTTCAAGGCTGTTGAGGACATGCGTCGGAGGCATGAAGGGCAGTAGTGGTGTCCACAGGGAGCAGTTAATAACTTGCCCGTTGGGACCTTTTGGAAGCACCCTGTGCATCTGTGAAGGGGTTAACGTATTGCTTTCAATTAGAGTTCGATTGATTTTGTGCTTTACTGACTGGCCCACTTCCTCGGTCACTTTCTTGGATACGAATACTCGCTCCAAGTAGTCTAGGAGTTGTCGGATGGACGAGCGGCTCTTAGTCATTTTTCCGTGGCTTGAGTAACAACTTTTGGGGTTGTTACTGGGCCCTTCAATGAGGGACAAGGGTGCATAGCCAGTTGTAAGAGTCCGAGCCTGGGAGACGTCCTCTTATGTAGAAGTTCAGGATGCGCCTCATCTTTCGGGCCTATAGGATAGGGCACTTTACCCATGGAAGAGAAAACACTATTCTCTTTCTTGTTCCTGAACAGCCCGTGGTTAACTATAGGATGACGGCTATATTCTAGGGGTTGTTGTCTTGTAGTCAGTGTATCAAGTGGGCTTCCTCAAAATCAACTCTTCTTGGGGTCTGCTTTATTCTGTTGACTAGCAAAGTAATCATGAAGATGTCTTCAGAGTGCTCAAACTAAGAGCCCTAACATAGAGGTCAACAGGGAACAGAGATGGATCCATGGAATTGCGGATTTCCCGAACAGGTAAAAACGCAGCTTATTCCAACATTAGAGCGAATAATCACATCGTAATGCGTGGACCACGGTGTTCTAGCCTTGTACTAAATTTATATATTCCTTCCAAAAGTGTTGTACATTGACCATTGACACTAAAAACTAGGGTATCACTAAATGCTATAAATGCTGTCGATTTCGGCCATCACTAAAAACTCCCGTACCTAATCCCACAAAGTCTGTTCAAGCCACTTGGAACTCATACAAGGCCGGCAAATCGTCGAACAGCCCATCCTGACCCGTATTCTTGATATTCTTGGCGAGTGATGGATACCTTACTGAGTTCCTCTCGGTTTGCAGCAAGGCGAGTACCTCCTAGCCATGTTGAGTGAACAGGGCTATTAATGTCAGTACTTTCAGAATCAGAATAAGTAGATGGATGAGTACTCACTCCTTAGCCCGGCGCACTCTCACGACACATTCAGCAGAGGCAATCTGTCGCAATTCGGTTTCTCTGTAAAAAGATAGTTTGTTAGTAGAAACTTCAACCAATTGACTTTCGAGTACCCACAATCTTTCCATGAATCCAGGAATCAAGGCATTTCCTCCGACAACGAGAACATTCGCCAAAAAGGCAGAGTGTAGGCCAGTAGGCAGAACCGACAAACTTTGAAGAATCATATCGGGTATGCCGGCTGACTTCATACCAATATCTCCGGGGGTGAATAGAAGCTCGGGGACAGCAAAGCGCTCATTACCCAGCACTAGTACATCCTCCGATAACACCTCTGCGCTGAGCCCGGAGACCGCTCCTTTCTTCTTTTTAGCGTGAAGAAGAGGATCATGCGGTCGAATGAAGCCCTTCTTGTTTGCGTTCGGGTCTGGAAGCACATAGTCCAACACGATTCCCTCCTCAGGGCCACTCTGGCGCTTTCGGCCACTTTTCCATGCTTGTTCCAAATCACCAGCAAAGTCATTGCTCACATAGCAGACCGCCTCTTTTACTTCGTTCATAATATATGATTCATCCACCATGTTGTATTGTCTCATTGACACAATCTCCTTCAGGTAGTTTGTCAGGTGTTTGCCTCCAAGATCGAGTCTTCGGATTCCCCGTTGAAGAGCATGGCCTTTGTAAACCGGAGTCACCGTGGTGTGCGAATAGCCAGAATCGACGACCAGTAAGCAATCTGCCGGCAAGATAGCTGTTTCAGATGTATTGGAGAGAGGATCGCCGAAGAGAGAATGGATTTCGTTCCATGCGTTGAGGGCTGGACCTATAGACTTCTGGTCAGTAAAGGATCATATGCGGCGCCAAATAACCGGACTACCATACCCAAACATCTCGCATATCCCCCAAATCCCCATTCCTCCATAACCATCTCATCAGCGTGGCGTTGTAAAATGGGCAAGGCATTCGGCGCCTCAGTAAGTATAAGGGTAGTGTCTTCCGGGTCCGCGATGTGATGATTCCGATTGCGAGCCATCGGCTTCCCATCAAAGAAAGACTGGTCCCAGATCTCTCTCTCGGCTTCCCAGTTCACAACATATCCCTTCTCCACTGGGCGCCGGAACATAGCCTCATTCCAGTCGTTGACCGTCGCTAGCTGTGCGCCGATAACGATCTTATTATCGCGGGTTTTAACGAGAGCATTGGGTATCGATGAGCAGGCGGAAACGCTTTCGTCGGCGGCCGGGGCATCAGAAGCGTAGCCGGCTTTGATCATGTACGCGCCATTGTCGATAATAAAAGTCTTGTCGGGAAGATATCGCGACGTCTCCACAGGCTGTGTGGGTGTTGCGGGTGTCCTTGGAGGAGCACGAGCCTTTGCTGTTCCCATTATGGCTGGTAATGATGAACAAAAGCTTTAAGCTTGTCAAGCTGGGATGCGATGATGAAGGTGTTTGTCTTGTTTGATATTGAAAATTCCCGCTTATGTAATATCGTTGTTCGGGCTAAGTCACGTTACAACTCGGCCAAGGTCTACAACAGAGTAAGAAAACATTTTGACGATTGTCCATCCTCGGCAAGTAAGGGAGGTTAAGCGGGTCTCTATTAGATAAACTTCCTATCTATATATATTATATAGGTACGCGGGTCTCGAAGCTAGGAGGTGAGATCTATCTATAGACTTATCAACTTGGTTCAGCCAAACATATTTCCGAAGTGCTGCACCACTTGTACAGCTGTTGTATGTTGAAACAGTAAATGTGGCAATATTAGCACCGGGTGTATAAGTAATATCTCATAAAGTGTCCGGCCCCACCACCCGGTAGGTTCGAAGGTTTATTACGGAGAATATAATATACAACCGGGCCTTGGAGCTGTTAATTTGTGCAGAAGTGAACCAAATCCCGACAAACTGGTCTGTCGAAGTGACTCCACAGGGTCAATCCGGAGATCAATAGCTAATTTAGGACGAAGCACCGAGCTTGTACAACTCCCGGAGTTTACTTGCTCAATACAGAGGACATTTTACAAACTATGTAAGGAAACATGGAGGGGCTAACTCGGCTAACCCCCGTAGGAAGCATATTGACCTTCTTTCCCCTCCAAAACATATTGTAGATAAATCACACATTCAACTCCAAATCCACTGACTATTACGGAGTACAATATACGAAATGGCTGCGCTTCAGACTATCGAAGTTCCACACCTTGGCGGCATCAAGGCCGGATACGCCTTCTCTAAGGACCATTATGATCCTTCCAAGCCGACATGCGTGCTCATTAATTCGATGTGCATGACCGTGTCTCTTTACCATGATCAATTCAACAATGAAGTCTTGACTGATGCCATGAATCTTCTGGCCATTGAGCCATTAGGCCATGGCTCAACCAGTTCTCCCTCGGAACACTTTACGTACTGGGATTCTGCTCACATGGCTTTACAGGTCATGGACCACTTTGGCATTCAGAAAGCCTTCGTCCTCGGAACAAGTCAGGGGGGTGGATTGTGACTAGGATGGCCCTCCTAGCCCCGAACAGGGTAGGTTCAAGCCCGGGGAGGAGGACCTCGGCAGTCAAACGAACTGCTGATTAAGCCCCAAGCCAAGCCAAGCCAGGCCAAATCAATAGTACTGACACATTGCTAGATTCTTGGTCTTATGCCCCTCGGAAGCTCCATGGATTACGAGTCCTTGGATTCTCGGTCCAAGGGCTGTTGGGACCCTGCTGCCAATCTCACCGTTTTTTACGAGAAGTGGACCAGTCCCTCGGCTACGCCCGACTTTGTTGTGGATGACGTCTGGTGCGGACTAGTGGGGGGGATTGGCTTTGGTGCCACTGCCACTGAAACGAGATCTGCATTCTGGACTCAGACCCTGAAGGAAGTGTATAAGGGCGATGAGGGCCGGAAAAAGGTTCGAATGGCGCTCAATTGCCTACTGGAGAGGGACGGGCTTCTACTTCGGATCCGGGATATCAAATGTCCTGTTTATTGGTTACAAGTGAGTTCTATGTTTACCGATGTACATGACTCGTGCATTAACAAATCGATAAGGGAACCGAAGACACTCCTTTTGGGACCATCGTTCCTGCGGAACATATTAAACGTTTTACCTCGTCTGTGGAGGCTAAACTTGTGATGATTGAGGGGGTGCGCATTACCTGAATGCCACCAACCCAAAGGAGGTGAATGAGGCCCTTCTGGAGATGGTCACCAAGTACAACTGCTAGTATAACTATATTGTATTGTATAGAATTGCGAAGATATGGTGGAAATCCCACTAACACATCCCACTCAAGGAGCCAGTCAATAGCTCTAATATTAGTTTTCGTTCTCGTTTAATAACTACTACTATACTCCGTGACTAGTTATGTGTATCATACTTTTTTCCTTGTTTACTAGTGTACTAGTGGTACTACTAACTAGTATAAAGTGGGCCTATTGTAATTTTTTTTTCTCCATAAGAACCTTCCTAAAATGAATATTCACAATCTCTGCATCCACGTGGATAATTTAGGATCTGCAGGGCATTTATTCGGTACTCAACGGTTCCTTAAAAGTTTACCTTACTTCATGCATAATGATACATCTATTCCGTACATCTATGGGTCTATGGATATTAATGATACATAGTATTTGATCTAGTTAAGCTAAGTGATACATATGATTGATACATAATAGTGCAGAGAGCAAATGCCCTAACCCAACATCGGCTAACTACCAAACTAAGTTCAGACCTTCAAACGCCAAGCTTGTCATTGTCAACCAAATGCTCAAAAGTGGGATTCCGAGTATTTGTTGAGCCGTGTACGGAGAGTATTCGACACACAATGGGCTCCGTACTCCATACATAAGATTTTATTCCCCAACATTTGCCAAGTTGGATGTTTACCTCCCTGAGATAACACTCATGGAGAGCAATCAGGACAGTCTGCAGCAATGGTCTATAGCTACCACAACCTCAGTCACGGTGTTGGCCTTCGTGTCAGTTTGTCTTCGACTACTCGCCCGTTATGAGCGGATGCAAAAGCTGTGGTGGGATGACTATATGGTTATCTTTTCTATGGTTAGTTCCCTTCCATCCATTGAATCCCAATCGCATGGTTTCTGACCAAACATCAGCTATGGAACTTCGTCGTTGTCGGTTTCATCTTCACCATGATCCATAAGGGAATGGGACTCCATGCAAGCACTATTCCCACAGAAAATGTGATCATGATCGCAAAGTATCTTGTTGTGGCCGAAGTTCTCTACGTCTTCAACCTGGTATGGACCAAACTGAGCATTCTGCTCATGTACTACCGGATCTTCCGCTTTTCTTACTTCAAGACATGGGCATACATCATTGGAATCTTTATTATCCTTTGGGTTATCTGTATAACCTTTCTCTTTATCTTTATTTGCGTCCCCGTCCAAAAGCTATGGTATCCCCATCTCCCAGGGCGATGTATCAACCAGGTTGCCACATGGGTTGCCAACGCCGTCTCGACGATCGCAACCGATGTGGCTATTCTCCTCCTTCCAATACCACAAGTATGGAAGCTCCAACTTCGAGTTTCGGAAAAGATAGCCGTTTTAATTGCCTTCAGCTTGGGATTCTTGTAAGCCGCTAACATTTCCAAAAACGAAAAGACACCCAGTCAATCTAACTTCAACAGTGTTGTCTTCGCCTCCGCCTACCGTTTCTCGGTCCTCTTCAGCTACACTTCACTTGATTCCTCGTACACTCTCGCCCCAACGGTTGGCTGGACCGCGATCGAAATGTCCGCCGGCATCGTTTCGGCCAATCTCCCCACCATCCGCCCTGCTCTTCGTTTAATAGCGCGCATGCTGGGTATCAACGGTAGAGTCATGGCTCTCTTCAAAAGTACAGACAGAACAACTGTCAAAAATTCGGACGCCGTCACTCAACCTACCGGAGCAGGGGAGTCCACTTCCACCATCATACAACACAACAAGAATTCCAAACGACATTCTTTCTATCACCTACCAGATGATCCTAACTCAGTAGGAGAACAGGCACAGATGGATACCTCGTTCAGGCCGGATTATGATAATGCGAAGACGTACACCAATGTGTTGGGTTCGAGGGTTGGTGATCATTCTGATGGGGATGATATTCCCCTGACTGAGATTAGAGTCGACAAAGAGTTTACGCAGACTACGCACTGAGGGGAATTATCCTTTGTATTATAATTAAATTGGGATTTCGGTTAATGTCACAGGATGTCATTCTTTACTTGTCTACTACTAGCGAGTCTTAATATATACTTCGATGTATATTGTACGGTAAAGGGCATAGTGGGCCTCTATAGCCCAGATCAGAAACAAGGCCGCTACATGTGAGTAGGACTAAATAAGAGCATTTAACCGCTATCTACATTGTCAAAAGATCACGATTAGATCGACTACCACTGCAGTGCTATATACAATACGAGGCACGTGATGGGACTATCACCCTTACTAGGTCGCTCAGGAGCCCTCTTGGTTTTACTGAACAAGAATGAACAGAGCAGCTTTACTACGTTGGCGTATCTAGGTTTTCCATCAAATACAAGCCATGCATGGCTACATATTAGATAGAATTTGGCATGTCGAGAGCTCTTCGCGGTGTAATTCAAGGTAAACGAGCTATAAGGGTGTTGATACCTGCTAGTAATAAACAATCATCATATTTAGACTGAGAGGATAATTAAAAAATAGAGAACCAGAATCAACATGATCATCTGCGACCAACTAAACAGCCTCAAGCTTACAGCGTTGACATAGAAATTCCAGGTGACCCCGCAGAGCCCTAATCAGCCCCGCGATAATTATCAGACCCAACCGCCCAATTTTTTTCTCTATTACACTCCCCTCCAACCCAACCCCGACCAGCCCACGACTCTCACAATGTCCAAACAACTATCTCCCATAATCGACACAACCATAGCCCTGATCAGCCAATTCCAAATAGCCCTCACCACACCCCCAACAGCCGCAACCGAAGCCGCAAAAGATGCCGAAGCTCTACCCCTCCTAACGGCCTCGGCGAGCGCACTCAAAGCACACGTCACAAAACTATCCCTGCTGGCCATTACCTCGCCCTTCACGCACTCCGCTGTCAGAACCGTGCTCCGCGAGCTCAATGAATCCATACTCCCGTCGCTCGTGACCGCTTCCCTTCTCGTTACGCCGGCGCAATACACCAAAGCGTTTCATTCCGAGGTCTTGATTCTGGTCAAGACGGCTTTGACGGAGCTTTCGTCACTGGTTCAGGAGGTCAAGCTTGTTGGAGAAAAGAAAGATCAGGAGAAGAAGGATACAGGGAAGGAGAGCGACGTCACGAAATCTGAAAAGGATGCGGTGATGCTCGCTACGGGCCGTGTCTGGGATGCGTGTGATGCTACGACCGATGTTGCGAATAAGGGGGTTGTTGGGTTTGTCATGCGTCGTGTTGAGCAGTGGAGGGACCTAGTTCGCGACGCGGTTGAGGAAATCGAGGATTGGGATCCCGAAGAAGGGGATGATGGTTTCTTTGATGATATTCTCGGTGATGAGGGGAAAGGTGGGGATGATGAGGACGAGGATGATGACGAGGACGAGGATGACGAAGAAGAGACGGCTGCTCTCGAGGAACACAAGAAATCTACTCTTCGTTTCCTCAAGCCTATTGCTCAGGCCTACCCAGCTATCATCAACAACCGGCTGAAGAATGTCGGAAATGCGCCGTTGGCTTCTCCGTCTGGTGTCAAGAAGCTGGAGTCCTTGATGCTGAATCTGCAAGCTATTCCGGACGACCTCGATGAGGCAGCTGGCGCGTTGTACGAGGCCAATTTTGAAATGTCTGCTGAGTATCTGCAGAAGACGAGGAAGTGTGCCACACAAGCGGTGGAGTTGGTCGCATCACCTTGGGGTGCTGCGGATGTCAAGGACGATGCACCGGCAGACAAGTTCGCTACATGGTCGAAGACGTGGCTCAAGGTGATTGACGAGGTCAGCAAGTCAATTGAAAAAAACTGAATGTAATTATCTGTCACGAAGCTGCACAGAAGCTGATTATAAGATGACAAAAGCCCGGGAAAAGCATAAACAACGATATTATGTATATGTACATAGAACAAACATGGTGATATTATACAAGCCTTTTTAAATGATGACCCTCCAACTAGATCTCGTGTCTTAGAACTCTTCTTCGGGAGCTTCATATTCCCGCTCCCATTCTGGCAGGTCACCAATGGGAATACGATCTCGCAAGAATTCCAAGATCGCATCGGTTCCTTTCGCAACTACTTGCCAGCGAGGTACTCGGAACCGATTGCCGGCCACCTCAAAACGTCTCAAGGCGGACCCATTGCCCCAGTTCTGGGAAGAGCGTCCAGCAGCCAACAGACCAATCCTCGGGGGAAGCGAATCAAGGTCATTGTTGCTTAGCTCCAAGACCTGCAACCCTTTTACGGCTTCGAAGTCCAAACTAGCGATCTGGTTGTCAGAGGCCACAAGGGTCTTGAGCTCTGGGTAAGTCTGTCTCAGATGGGGAAGTGGTCCCTTCAAACGATTGTGCGATACATCCAAGAAGATCAAAGATGGGGCTATCAGGTTGGACAAGAGAGGTTCCCATGACGTCAAGCCGGCCGCATTTAAAGTCAGCGACTGAAGCTTTGGCAACTCAAGCGGGGAAGACAAGAAGTCAGCGCCATTCAAGGGGTTGTGTGAGAGATCAAGCTCAACCAGACACTGCGCGAGCATTCCAATGGCGGGGGCCGGGAAACAGCTCAACTCATTGTGCTGCAAATAAAGACATCGAATGTCTAGCGATGGAACCATCTCCAGCTGTTCCACCTTAAGGTCGGTCATTTCGGCATAAGACTTATCAAGGATCCCACCGGATTTAATCTGCCAGCTGCCATCGAGCGTGGGACTCTCGGGCGCTAGAGTGAATTGGGTGGCCACTGAGCCCTCGTCATCTGTGTCCTGAGGATCAGGCTCACAGCGGCTCCGCAAGTCTCGTTTGATATCGTCGGTGTCCATTCTCAGCAGCCTGCGCTCACGAAGCGGGTTATTGGAAACCCGCAAAGAGGCAAGGTGTTCCATTAAACCAATCTTCTCATTCAAGACCGTAAGGGAATTTCCTGTGAAATCGGCCTTCTTTAGGTTCTTGAGATCCACAAACCCTTGTGGAAGCT